GACACACTTACTTATCCTCGCAATAAATAAAGTTGACTAATGCCTTCGCACAAATGCAACTCTGCTGGCACCCAACATCCCATTTCAAGCCTTGCTTATACAACATGTTGTTCTGCATGCAGTGATCTGGAATACAACGATCCAGATGTATGTTTTACTTAACTGCTGTTTATTTATAGCGGAAGTAATCAATTCATTCATTTATTTATTTATTTATTGCTGTATCGTTCTCTTTTTTGAGCGAATGCGAAAAGTTTTTTTCTGCCACAACCATTTTTTAAAATTCAAGATAAGTACACTTATCTTATCTACTTAATTTAAGTTGAAAGCAAAGAGGGGTCCAACAAATTAAATTTATTGAGTATCTCTGTAGTGTAGAATTTGATTATGGTTGTTAATTACAAGAAATGTTAAATGGAAACTTTTCGCGCCAAAACCTTCACGACCCTTTCACTGTTTCAGTTTGAAGCACGTCATTATCAGCAACACTCTTACCCTGAGGTTTGACGCACTCGTGCGTCCCACCAGGCTTTATATTGCATGGAATCGGGGTTCCTTGTAACAGTGGACAGGGGTTGGGGTTGCAGGGGTCGGTTGCCGCAGTGGTGGTCATAGTGGTGGTTGTGACCGCTCTTGCCTGTATAATCTGGACCACAAAGGCAGAAATAATCATTTGCCTATAGAAGAAAATGATTAAGTAAAAATATAGAAGATACGAAATGAACAATACGGGCGTGGCAAACCCAAATAAGCGATAACGTAGTCAGACAGACAATATGTCAGTGGCAGTTGATTTTATCACTGTTCTCTGCACTTGGTGATCCTGAAAAAACGATACCGAATTTTCTTTGGAAGATTCCATTCATTGTCAATAGGTATTTTGGAGATTGCCTATACCTGTGTTATCAAAATAAAGGCACAGTTTAATTTGATATGGTATATAGACAAATACTTGGATAGAGAATTATGCAATGTCAAGGGTACAAAATAGTCTTTTAACACACAAGACGGATTTACTTCGTTTATGACGCATCAGATTACTTTTAATACTTATTACACACTTACAGGTAAACAAAAAGAAAAAAGTCGACCAATGAATCTCAAATTCCAAGTCCTTGAAAAAAAAAATACCACACTCTAACACGTACCTGATCAATACACGTTGCACCATTTTGACTTGGTTTTGAACTGCAATCGTCGATGTTCACCTCGCAGTAGGGTCCGGTCCACCCAGGATTGCATGTGCACGTCACTCCGGTCGGTGTGTCTGAGCACGAAGTTGGATGCTTGCACGCGTTCAAACTGCACGCCTTATACTGACATGTTGGTCCCTTCCAGCCCGCCACGCAGGCGCAGCTGTATGTGTTGGGTGCGTTGGTACATCTGCCGCTATGCTCACATGGAGACGACCTACATTTGTTTATGTCGATTTCACAATGCCGTCCATCAAAGTCAGCATGACACCGGCACGTGTAATTGTTAGGAGATGACAAGCATGTCCCCTTATTCAAATATGGGGATGATCGACATAAGTTGTTGTTGGCCACTAAAGTCTGCGGTACAGGCACATGTGTGTAATTATTGGGGGAATTGCTGCAAGTACCGTGATTTTGACAGGGCGTCGACCTGCACTGGTTATTGTCGATGTCACAGTTGCGACCATCATAACCTGTCTGGTACATGCAGATGTAGTTATTTGGGGACGACAAGCACAATCCATTGTTCAAGCATGGCTTTGATCGACAAAGATTGTTGTCTATCTCACAATGTTTCCCACTGAAATCGGTGGGACAGGCACATGTATAATTATTAGGGGAATTGCTGCAAGTACCTTGATTTTGACAGGGCGACGAGTGACAAAGGTTGTTGTCTATCTCACAATGTTTTCCACTGAAGCGTTTGGTTGGTTCTGGCATTTACATAAGTTCATACATGGCGAAGACCGACAAAGGTTGTTGTCTATCTCACAATGTTGTCCACTGAAATCGGCGGGACACGCACATGTGTAATTATTGGGGGAATTGTTACAATAACCCCCGTTCTGACATGGCGAGGACCGACAAAAGATTGTTGTCTACCTCACAATGTTTTCCACTGAAGTCGGTGGGACAAGCACATGTATAATTGATGGGAGAATTGCTGCAAGTACCCTGATTTTGACAAGGCGGCGACCTGCACTGGTCATTGTCAATGTCACAGTTGCGACCCCCATAGCCTGACTGGCCTGACTGGCCTGACTGCAGTTGTAGGTATTTGGGGACGACATACATAATCAATTGTTCATATTTGGGGGATTGCAAAATTCAATTAAAATTAAAATTAAAGAATTACGTAAGCGCATAGGGTCTTTACACTTTGGTCGCAAACAATTCTTCCGGGATGATTCCTTTACGCAAATTTATATAGTATTTATCTTTGCACATTTATAAGCCGTGGAGATACCGAGCAAACATACAGGTGGTTATCTAGTGATCTGGTGCTCTTTTTTAGGACACAGTTTTTTTTTTGCTTTCAAAAATTTTAACACACGCGTTGAAAGTAAATATGCTCAAATGTCAATACACTGTACATATAATTCATAACGAGCCCCGCCTTTCTGTTTTATTAGTCATGATACATTGAAATAGCTCAATTTCATAGAGACTTGTTTATTTTGTATGTTTTAATTACACCCTGCACTGCGGATGGTCGTTTATAAAATGATGAAAATACTCCAAAGACCCCCAGTGTTCAAGCTACAAACGTGCCAATAAATAGTACTATGCAGGGTTATTTAAAATTAGCCTTTTCCTATTTTATTAGTTTAAAAATTAATCTATTTGACAAGGCAGTGACCCAGCCTATAAAATTATTAATGGAGTTTCTTGATATATCAAAATGAAACACTCCACCCAAAATGTATAGTGCGCTTTTATGCATAAGACCAAATATTTTTTTGGAGTAGAAAAATTAAGAAATGTCTTTTTAAAAAGATTTGGGACTTATGTTAAATCGTGATCACCGTATTACTTTTTGGTTCAATTCAACACGATAAGATATTGCATTTTACATGTTATCAAACCCTGTGCATATGTGGTCATTTAATCAAGGTGCTAAATTTGATTTCAGATTTGTTTTCTCTTGGTCATTAACTTGATAACATACCACGTGAGCAAAGAGACACAATATGAGCAAGGCATGTTGAGATACCACCCTTTAAATTTACTAAGGCATCTAATGTTTATTTCTGAGTTAAAGCTAATTGCCGCACCTTTAGCCCAAAGTGATCTGCAAAAAATATAATATTAGCTTTAGAGAGATTGTGTACAATTACATGTCTCCGGCATGCCGGTTTATAAGATTTACTTGGTTACGCGTGGAAATGGTGAGGAAAATACGGTAGATTGTTGTTGGTGTCTGTTTCTTTTGTAAAAAAATAACCACATTGTGCCAATTTTGGAAAGGCACACGTCTTTTTATCTACCGAACCGCACAATGTCTATTACAAAAACGGTTAAGTTGCATTGGTTGTTGTGGGCTTCAGTTCTTGTTGCAAGAGAGAGAGAGAGAGAGAGAGAGATTTGAGAAAGCGAGACAGACAGACAGAAAGACTGAGAAAAAACAACTTTGTAGTCTATCCAGAATGACAAAAGAAGAGAGAATGTGAGAAAGAATGAAAAAGAGAATAAGAAAATGAGAGAGGCAGAATGAGAAAGAGAGTGTGTGTGTGTGTTCTGAGACTCCGAAAAATAGCTATCTAGTCTACATGTACACTATACGTACATGCACTCCAGTAGTCTTATACTGTTATAATTCAGTTTGATTTATCATTGGTTATCACCAACTTGTGCGGTTTTCATATTGACCTTAAATTGATCCTCCAAAGATATATTGAGTTTTTGCTCTCTCTTTATTGATTTAATATCCCGCAGTGCTTACATGCTGTTAGAAACATGTTCCGAAAATATACCGTTTTTTTTTTTCGGCAAACATTGCCATCCTCTTTATTTTGCCAATATGGCCAAGAAGCAGTTCACTAATACTGATCATGAGATCTTGAACTTGTTAATTTTATTGTATTTTCAAGTGGTATTATGTTGTGTATATGAGAGAATTATTGTATAGCTGCTGTGCTACAGAATGATTAATTTTAAATTTCATTTTGTAGTTATGAGATACTATAAATTTTATTATACATTGAGAATTACGTCAATCTTATGCAGTATGATAAAACAGGCCTATCCTTTAACGAATTTCCTACACATTATTATGTAGCACGAGGAACGTATAGGCCTACACACAAAATAGAATGGTTCCACTGTATCACGAGGCGCTTTTTTAAATGAAGAGATATTTGACTACTTTATCATGCCTTAAACTAATAAATCGATGGACTTTTCAAGATTAAGGAATGGAGGGGATCCTGCGAAGACACCTGCAAGCATCTTATCATTCATTTACTCGTTGTTAAGTCATGTTCAGTGGCTCAGTTGATACCTAAACCAACCAGGGGTTATCGTCAAGTCTGAATGATTAAACTGTTAAAGACCTGAACTTTTAATTCTGTCTGCATTTTATGATAGGACAGACATAAATGTATGTGCCGAGTACATGTACTTCAATCTTGATCAAAGGGCATCAACACCGAAAAAGTAAAAAATAAAATAAATAAATAAATAAAAAATAATAATAAAAAAATAAAAACCAAGACTTTTTCAAAACGTTTTATTATTCACTTTACCTCCCATTTTACCTTGAAGGGCTATATGTATTGATATACACAAAAATTGTTAAAGCAAATATAAAAGCCTATTATTTATGAGGGTATGAATTCCATTGTGTTCCATTTCATTAATGCTTTTTGAAACGAGCTCTTATCCCAGTTACAGAACAGCATCAAAAATCTTCATGTATCAATATTAAAATCTGCTTTCAAACGGAGTATGTTGAACCAGCACCTTGTAAAGAGGTTACTCAGGAGATTATAACACGAAGAGAAGTGTTGGGGTAGATATTATCGAAGGCAGATCGTTTGCGCAAAGTTAACCCAAAGTCACCAAAATTAAAAAAAGTAAATAACTTCACTAAAGACTTTCTGTATTTCCTCTTGGCAGTTTCTCAAAGGTTTCAAAGAAATGTGATATATATCAACATCTTTTCAAGAACATTTGTGAAATTGTTGAGGAAAAACTATCAATGGTATAACCTTTGTGCAGAGATGGTTCACTGACTAGTTATATATGCATATGAAAGCAACGGTTTAATTCTGTGCACGGCAGATTAAACTTTCACTTATTTTCATAAGGCTTAAAGCCTGAAACGAAAAGTCGAAAATGCCGTTTCCCAAAGCTTAATTATGTGAGCTTAAAATCATTAAATCTGGTTCACTGTGCAAGCTTTCCAAATAACTTTGCGAAACACTAGTGCATTCTAACTAGCGGAAAACAATTTTCCTCTCTACCTATATGTCAAATATAGTGAGCGTATATGCAAAGAACAGAAAGTTCATAGTAATTAAGATTTTGAGAGCAACCGGGCAAAGATCCTATCCCGCTGAAAACTTACAGATTAGGTTTTATATTATATTGATAAGGCACTGGCGCAAATGAACTTGGTCATAATCTTTCGTGCAATCTCTGAAACTATTTCGGAACGCTGGCAAAATTATTCCTCAATCCAAATGGGTAGCTAGCTAAAAAGAAATAGGTACTTCAAGCCAGTTGTTGGCTTCTTATGGCGGAGGAGTGAAACCGCTACAGTTCAATTCTGGACAGCATTTCCCGGACTTGGGGGGATCAAGGCGACAACCATTTGGAACACCAACACTCAGCCAGTCAAAACACCTAAAATAAATTTGAGAAAACATTAATATTTTTATAAGGTATACACTGTACTTAATGAATAGAATGACATTACACATTATCAAAAGTATGTTAGATTAAGGTTTAGGCCATTCTGTAACCCCACTTAATTCCTTTATACGGAACTGATGGCTATAATATTTTGGTCACGCCATATTTCAGTACTCTTTATGATAATTTGGGATACACATTTTGACTTAATGGCCAATTAGTTAAAAGTAATGAATTCATTTTGATTTGGCATAAATGAAAGCAGCCTTAACTGGACAAAAAGCAATCAACCTTATATCGGGTTTGTCTATTTTTTGTGCTTTGATTTTGATACTACACGACATGGAGAGCATGTAAGAGATATTTCCTTTCAGGAATTGCTTTTGTGCTTTTTCTCCGGCAATCGGCATCAAAGATACACATTAAAAAAATTGCTAATCATATTATACTACAAACGTTATTTAACTGTTATTTAATTGAACGCAAATAAAACATCTTGTAGTACGCTGAATTTATTCCAACAATTGCTTCATAAGTTGTATACGTATTATAGATTATACCATATTCTGTTTTTTTAAGACACACTTACTTGGCCTCGCAATAAATAAAGTTGACTAATGCCTTCGCACAAATGCAACTCTGCTGGCACCCAACATCCCATTTCAATCCTTGCTTGTACAACATGTTGTTCTGCATGCAGTGATCTGAAATAAAATGATCCAGATATATGTTTTATTTAACTGCTGTTTATTTGTAGCGGAAGTAATCAATTTATTTATTGCTGTATCGTTCTCTTTTTTCTTCATTTTCTTTTTGCATGGTCTGTGCGAATGCGAAAAGTTCTTTTTCTGCCACAACCATTTTTTAAAAATTCAAGATAAGTACACTTACATGTACCTTAATTAAAGTTGAAAGCAAAGAGGGGTCCAACAAATAAACAGTTATTGAGTATCTCTGTACAGTAGAACTGGATGAATGGTTAATTATCACTATAAATCGTATATAGTATCTTTTCGCGCCAAAACCTCTACGATCCTTAAAGAAAGAAGCATGTCATTAGCATCACTCTTACCCTGGGGTTTGACGCACTCGTGTGTCCCGCCAGGCTTTACATTGCATGGAATCGGGGTTCCTAGTAACAGTGGACAAGGGTTGGGGTTGCAGGGGTCGGGTGCCGCAGTGGTGGTCGTAGTGGTGGTTGTGACCTGGGTTTCACAGCTCTTGCCTGTATAATCTGGACCACACAGGCAAAAATAATCATTTGCCTATAGAAGAAAATGATTCAATAAAAATATAGAAAATACGAAATGAACAAGACGGGCGAGGCAAGGCCGAATAAGCTATAGCGTAGACAGACAGACAATCAGTACCAGTTCTTCTTTGCGCAGTTCTTCATCATTTTTTGCGCCTGTAAAGAATATTATTAGGCATCCTGAAAGAACGATACAGATTTTACTTTGACAGATTCCCCGCATTGTAAATGCATATTTTGGAGATTGCCTATATCTGTGTCATCAAAATAAAGACAATTTAATTTGTTATGGTATGGTATATATATATATATATATATATATATATATATATATATATATATATATATATATATATATATATATACTTGAACAGAGAATGATGCAATGTCAAGGGTACAAAAATAGTCTTTTAACACACAAGATGAATTTACTTCGTTTATGAAGCATCAACTTACTTTTACTTTTATTACTTACTACAGGTAAATAAAAAAAGTCGACTTATATCACTTAAAGTTCTGATGGACTTGTACTGCTGCACTTTAGAAATGAACCTCAAATTCCAAGTCCTTGAAAAAAAACTATCACACTCTAACACGTACCTGATCAATACACGTTGCACCATTCTGACATGGTTTTGAACTGCAATCGTCGATGTTCACCTCGCAGTACGGTCCGGTCCACCCGGGATTGCATGTGCACGTCACTCCGGTCGGTGTGTCTGAGCACGATGATGAATGCTTGCACGTGTTCAAACTGCAAGCCTTATACTGACACGTTGGTCCCTTCCAGCCCGTTGCACAGGCGCAGCTGTATGTGTTGGGTGCGTTGGTGCAATTGCCGCTATGCTCACAAGGAGACGACCTACAATTGTTTATGTCGATTTCACAATGCCGTCCATCAAAATCAGCATGACACTGGCACGTGTAATTGTTTGGAGATGACAAGCATGTCCCCTTATTCAAACATGGGGATGATCGACATAAGTTGTTGTCTATCTCACAATGTTGGCCACTGAAGTCAGCGGGACAGGAACATACATAACTATTGGGGGAATTGCTGCAAGTACCTTGATTTTGACAGGGCGACGACCTGCACTGGTTATTGTCGATGTCACAGTTGCGACCACCATAACCTGTCTGGCACATGCAGTTGTAGTTATTTGGGGACGACAAGCATAATCCATTGTTCAAACATGGCTTTGATCGACAAAGATTGTTGTCTATCTCACAATTCTTTCCACTGAAATCGGTGGGGCAGGCGCATGTATAATTATTGGGGGAATTGCTGCAAGTACCATGATTTTGACACGGGGACGAGCGACAAAGGTTGTTGTCTATCTCACAATGTTTTCCACTGAAGTCGGTTGGGCATAGGCAGTTGTAAGCGTTTGGTTGGTTCTGGCATTTACCTAGGTTCAGACATGGCGAAGACCGACATAGGTTGTTGTCTATCTCACAATGTTGTCCACTGAAATCGGCGGGACACGCACATGTGTAATTATTGGGGGAATTGTTACAATAACCCCCGTTCTGACATGGCGAGGACCGACAAAGGTTGTTGTCTACCTCACAATGTTTTCCACTGAAGTCGGCGGGACAAGCACATGCATAATTGTTGGGAGAATTGCTGCAAGTACCCTGATTTTGACAGGGCGACGACCTGCACTGGTCATTGTCAATGTCACAGTTGCGACCACCATAGCCTGACTGGCACATGCAGTTGTAGGTATTTGGGGACGACATACATAATCCATTGTTCAGGCATGGTTTTGACCGACAAAGGTTGTTGTCTATTTCACAATGCTTTCCACTGAAATCAGCGGGACAGGAACATGCATAATTGTTGGGGGAATTGTTACAAGTGCCTTGGTTCTGACATGGCGAGGAACGACAAAGGTTGTTGTCTATCTCACAGTGTTTTCCACTGAATTCGGTCGGACATACGCAATTGTAATCATTTGGTTTGTTTTGACATTTTCCTTGGTTGTGACATGGTGAGGACCGACAAAGGTTGTTGTCTATCTCACAATGTTTTCCACTGAAGTCGGAGGGACAGGAACATGTATAATTATTGGGGGAATTGCTGCAAGTACCCTGATTTTGACAGGGCGACGATCTGCATTGGTTATTGTCAATATCACAGCTGCGACCACCATAACCTGCCTGGCACAGGCAGTTGTAGGTATTTGGGGACGACATACACAATCCATTGTTCAAGCATGGCTTTGATCTACAAAGGTTATTGTCTATCTCACAATGCTTTCCACTGAAGTCGGAGGGACAGGAACATGTATAATTATTGGGGGAATTGCTGCAAGTACCCTGATTTTGACAAGGCGACGATCTGCATTGGTTGTTGTCAATGTCACAGTTGCGACCACCATAACCTGACTGGCACAAGCAGTTGTAGTTATTTGGGGACGACATACACAATCCACTGTTCAAACATGGCTTTGATCTACAAAGGTTAATGTCTATCTCACAATGTTTTCCACTGAAGTCGGTCGGGCATACACAAGTGTAACTATTCGGTTGGTTCTGGCATTTTCCTTGGTTCTGACATGGCGACGATCGACATAGGTTGTTATCTATCTCACAGTGTTTTCCACTAAAGTCGACGGGACAAGCGCAGGTATAATTGTCAGGGGAACTTCTACATATACCTTGGTTTTTACATGGTGATGAGCGACAGAGATTGTTGTCTGTCTTGCAGAGGAGTCCACTGAAGTCCTTAAGACAAACACAGACATAGGCATTCTGTTGGTTTCGGCACGAAGCCCCATTCTGACATGGCGACGATCTACAAAGGTTGTTGTCTATCTCACAATGTTTTCCACTGAAGTCGGTCAGGCATCCACAGCTATAAGCGTTTGGTTGGTTCTGGCATTTACCTTGGTTCTGACATGGGGACGAACGACAAAGGTTGTTGTCTATCTCACAATGTTTTCCACTGAAGTCGGTCGGGCACACACAATTGTAACCGTTTGGTTGATTCTGGCATGAAGCCCCATTCTTACATGGCGAGGATCTGCAAAGGTTGTTATCTATCTCACAATGTTTTCCACTGAAGTCGGTCGGGCACACACAATTGTAAGAATTTGGTTGATTCTGGCATGAAGCCCCATTCTTACATGGCGATGATCTACAAAGGTTGTTATCTATCTCACAGTGTTTTCCACTGAAGTCCGTCGGGCATACACAATTGTAAGAATTTGGTTGGTTCTGGCATTTACCTTGGTTCTGACATGGCGAGGAACGGCAAAGGTTGTTATCTATCTCACAATGTTTTCCACTGAAGCTGGCAGGACAGACACAAGTATAATTATTGGGGGAATTGTTGCAAGTACCTTGGTTCTGACATGGTGACGAGCGACAGAGGTTGTTATCTGTCGTGCAGAGGTGTCCACTAAAGTCCTTAGGACAAACACAGTCATAGCCATTCGGTTGGTTCTGGCACTGACCTTGGTTCTGACATGGAGACGACCGACATAGGTTGTTGTCTATCTCACAATGTCTCCCACTAAAATCTTTGGGACACTTGCAATCATATCCATTTGGTTGATTATGACAAGTACCTTGGTTTTGGCATGGCGATGATCTGCACATGTTATTGTCTATTTCACAATTCTTGCCGCTGAAGTCTGAAGTCGTACAATTACAAACGTAATCATTTGGTTTGTTTAAGCAAAAGGAGGCGTTATTCTGACATGGCGAAGATCTGCAAAGGTTGTTATCGACTTCACAATGTTGTCCGTAGACATCAGGTGGACATAGGCAGTCATATCCATTTCGTTTGTTCTGACAGGTAGCTTGGTTCTTGCAAGGAGAGGATCGGCACATGTTGTTGTCTATATGACAATACGTTCCACTGTAATGAGGGGGGCAATTACAAGTGTATCCGTTTACATGATCTACACATGAACCGCCATTGAGACACACTGCCATGGCACAATCATCTATGTCTGTTTCGCAGTTGTACCCCGTGTACCCAGGGGGGCAAACGCAGGTATAAGTCCCAAAGCTTTCTTGACAGTGTCCGTTATTCTCACAAGGTTGGCTGTAGCACGCTGTGGGTGGGATGGAGCAGTCTTTGCCCGTGAATCCTGCGCTGCATTTACAGCTATAGCCGTTGATTTCGTCAGAACATTTTCCGTTGTTTTGACACGGCGAAGACTGACATTCGTCGATATTTGTTTCGCAATTTTTCCCGGTGAAACCAGCAGGACAAATACACCTGTAGTCAGGGTGGTCGGGTTTCCACACGTTTTCACAGGTACCTTGAATTGATTAAAAAAGATAAACAAAAGATAATGAGAGGTTAAAAAAGTAAGAAAGAAAAACATCATAGGGATTTGAATTAAAGTTAAATGTTTTTCGTTTGTGTTTACAAACAAACAAATACTAAGACATCATAAAATTTGTTTCATATAATTATGTATTGTAGGTCTCTGGAAGGAAGGGAGAAGGTATGACAATAAAACAATATTAGCAGATGGTTATTTCACAAATGTAACAAGAAGGGAGATAAGAAAAAGGCAGGTTATATAAAGTGTAAAAATGTCACATATTTTTTGTTAGCAATGGTGCTACCTACCCCGTTGGCACGGATGATTCCGGCATAACTTAACTCTTTGGTCGCAGTTGATTCCTTGATATCCCTCCCTACATACACATCTATAACTGCCGATAGTGTTTATACACCTTTCTGAAGATAATGAAGGAATTTAGAGTTAATCTAAAGTTGTCTATTAATCATTTTCTATGACAAAGATTTAAATATAGGAGCCTTCCCATCTTGTAAAATAAGGAGACAGTGGTTATCTGTTCTGAAACCGCTTTCACATAAACACATAGCAGTGCTACTCATTAGTTTTCAACACCAATGAAAGAAGAGACTGTAAACATGTCACAGTAATCAGAAAAATGAAAAATGATTTAACAATTCATTATCCGACTGGTAAATGTACTTGCTTCTCTTGGTGGTATGTCCACCACTAGTTTAATAATATTATAACAGGGTGCCATTGGGTATTTCTGTTACCCGTGAAAGCCACTTTTTATTTCTCGAGATGCGTGAACGTTCATTTTACTTAACGTGATCCGCAACCACCCCATTCGTGAATGCGGCTTTTTATTCTCCGTCCTTCGTGAAACGAAGTCATTATGCCCGGTGATTCGTGATTTAGAAGATTCGGTTGGCATTAACAGTGAGATATTTATTTATTTATTTATTTATTTTTGTGAACTGATGATTTTATTTTCCGTAAACTGTGATCCTACCCCCATTGGACCATCTAATAAGCTTCATTATATTATTGTAATTGTACACTACTGTAAGTCATAGGCACTTAAAGTTAACGCAGATAACTAATACTATTGCGTAAACCAAGGAATTATATCGTAGACGATGTAATTCCCTGCGTCAACTAAACCCCAATTTAAAGCTGATAAATAATCAATTTGAATTTAAAAACAAATATAGTGATAAAATCCAACGAAAGAGATGACACATTACACGGAAAGGCCTTTAATGGTAATCAATAATTATAAATATCCGCATGTGAAAAGTCAGTAAATGATCAAAAAACTTATCAATGAAAATAAACGTGTTTAAATACATGTAGCTAGCCATTGTGATACTANGTATAAACATAAAAAATTGTAATCCCAGAAGCAAGTGTAATTTTAATGTAAACTGGTGGTGCTTTATATCAGAAATTATCATTTATAGATGTGAGTGTGGCTAAAATTAAATTAAATGTCCTGACAAATCGGTTATCACGACCATATCTGCAGAGAAGTACCGGTATTTGTTTGAAAAGTAAATAATTTTGACAGACATGTTTGGGTTGGTAGGAGTTCAATTGATCAGTCTAATTTTAAGTGCAAGTGAAATGATATTAAGGCCTGAGAGATAAATTGGTTTCGATGACGAGGGGTATGCTTTCATTTCACCTATCGGTGCTATCGGTGGCATTCTTCAATATGAAATCACTTTTGTAATAGACGTAATTCCAAACTTTAGTAGTATGAAAACAATTTAAATTGAGATTCTAGTGACTGTCATACAGATATGATTATGTTGGCTGATTGTTTTTTTTTTTCGAACACGCGTACAGCGGCATTTTGGAAAAAGACCCAAGAGTGATGGTTTTTAAAAATATATATATCAGAAATACATACCAAATGCTAATTATCGTTTTTTTAATATTTGGGGTTAAGAGAAACGTTGAGCAGTTATTCCTATCATTTCTAAACTTTCATAAATTTTTATCATGGTTCAAGGCCCTTAATGATGCATGCAAATTACCCGATGCTATAAAATAAAACTAAATAAAACCAAATAAAACTCTTAGGTATTCATCCTTTACGTAAATTTTCGATATAATTGTATGTTGAAAAGATCAATATGTAGTTCTTAAACAAATAAAATAGGTCCAGAACACTTTGGTAACTAAAGCAATTAGGAATGAGTTTATTATCATATAATTAATATTAATTGCCAATTAGGCCTATAATTCAGATTGATTTCATTTTACAGCTCCATAGCTTTTCATCTCACACGCAGGTATAAGTCCCAAAGCTTTCTTGACAGTTTCCGTTATTCTTACAAGGTTGGCTATAGCACGCTGTAGGTGGGATGGAGCAGTCCTTGCCCGTGAATCCTGCGCTGCATTTACAGCTATAGCCGTTGATTTCGGCAGAACATTTTCCGTTGTTCTGACACGGCGAAGACTGACATTCGTCGATATTTGTTTCGCAATTTTTCCCGGTGAAACCAGCAGGACAAATACACCTGTAGTCAGGGTGGTCGGGTTTCCACACGTTTTTACAGGTACCTTTAATTGATTAAAAAAGAAAAACAAAAGATAATGAGAGGTTAAAAAAGTAAGAAAGAAAAAAATCATAGGGATTTGAATTAAAGTTTAATGTTTTTCGTTTGTGTTTACAAACAAACAAATACTAAGACATCATAGAATTTGTTTCATATAACTATGTATTGTAGGTCTCTGAAAGGAAGGGAGAAGGTATGACTGTAAAACAATATTAGCAGATGGTTATTTCACAAATGTAACAAGAAGGGAGATAAGAAAAAGGCAGGTTATATAAAGTGTAAAAATGTCACATATTTTTTGTTAGCAATGGTGCTACCTACCCCGTTGGCACGGATGATTCCGGCATAACTTAACTGTTTGGTCGCAGTTGATTCCTTGATATCCCTCCCTACATACACATCTATAACTGCCGATAGTGTTTATACACCTTTCTGAAGATGATGAAGGAATTTAGAGTTAATCTAAAGTCGTCTGTTAATCATTTTCTATGACAAAGATTTAAATATAGGAGCTTTCCCATCTTGTAAAATAAGGAGACAGTGGTTCTCTGTTCTGAAACCGTTTCACATAAACACATAGCAGTGCTACTCATTAGTTTTCAACACAAATGAAAGTAGAGACTGTAAACATGTCACAGTAATCAGAAAAATGAAAAATATTTAACAATTCATTATCCGACTGGTAAAATGTACTTGCTTCTGTTGGTGGTATGTCCACCACTAGTTTAATAGTATTATAAGAGGGTACCATTGGGTATTTCTGTTACCCTTGAAAGCCACTTTTTATTTCTCCGCAACCACCCCATTCGTGAATGCGGCTTTTTATTCTCCGTCCTTCGTGAAACAAAGTCATTATGCCCGGTGATTCGTGATTTAGAAGATTCGGTTGGCATTAACAGTGAGATATTTATTTATTTATTTATTTATTTATTTATTTTTTGTGAACTGATGATTTTATTTTCCGTAAACTGTGATCCTCCCCCATTGGACCATCTAATAAGCTTCATTATATTATTGTAATTGTACACTACTGTAAGTCATAGGCACTTGAAGTTAAAGCAGATAATACTATGCGTAAACCAAGGAATTATATCGTAGACGATGTAATTCCCTGCGTCAACTAAACCCCAGTTTAAAGCTGATAAATAATCAATTTGAATTTAAAAACAAATATAGTGATAAAATCCAACGAAAGAGATGACACATCTCACGGAAAGGCCTTTAATGGTAATCAATAATTATAAATATCCGCATGTGAAAAGTCAGTAAATGATCAAAAAACTTATCAATGAAAATAAACGTGTTTAAATACATGTAGCTAGCCATTGTGATACTGACATAAGGCAATTAACAGAAGTTTTTCAATCTGGAAATAACAGAATCCTGAAATATATCATTTGACTTCATTTGTGTTCTTTAGCTTGACTTTTTAACATCCATTTTAGTGCGGTTAATAATAATAATAATAATAATAATAATAATAATAATAAATGTACTGAATATTTTAAAAGGCGCAATAAAAACTCACCTTTTTCTTTGCAAAGTGTCACTCCGAGGGCTTTAAATTCATTGCATTCATCGATGTCAGTTGTGCAACTGGGATAACCCTTGTATCCAACCGGGCAATTACATAGTTGATGGAATTCGGGAAATACACTATCTATCTGAGGAGCAAGCAATGCACTCATTTTGGCAAGTGATTTGGGAGTTAGTTTCTTGGGTTTGGTATACACTTGTGCCTTGGGAGTTGGTTTCGTGGGATTGGCATACTCTTGTGTCTTGGGAGTTGGTTTTGTGGGTTTGGCATACTCCTGTGTCTTGTGAGTTGGTTTTGTGGGTTTGGCATACTCTTGTGTCTTGGGAGTTGGTTTCGTGGAATTGGCATACTCTTGTGTCTTGGGAGTTGGTTTTGTGGGATTGGCATACTCTTGTGTCTTGGGAGTTGGTTTCGTGGAATTGGCATACTCTTGTGTCTTGGGAGTTGTTTTCTTGGATGGTTTGGGGGCAGGTTTTTTAGTTCCAGTAGTGTGTGTGCCAAACAGCCCCGCGCAGTTGTAGACGATTTGTTGAGTGCCTGCTGTGCTGATGGACTGCTTGGATTTCTTTGTTGGAGGTTTCGCAGGCTGTAACGTATTTGGCGCAGAGCTTGGGACCGGAAAGAGTATATTCTTTACTGCCTCTAAAAATAAGAAGAAAATTCCCACTAAGGAGAGCACAGTAATACTTCTGCACATACAGCTAATGTTCCCGAATAAAGTGGAATCATTGAAATAATATGTCCATATTATAGACGTTCAGAATAAGTACTCAGGCAAACCAAGGATCCGATTCTGAATGTTGTGATTTTTCTTGTCTAAGTTTTCAATGACATTTGCTAAAATGTTATTTTGTATGACCGAATCATGAACAGAAAGTAAATTTTAAAATGGGTGACTTACCCAGAACAGTCTGGTCACAATTATATCCCGCGTATCCCGTTTTACACACGCATACCTTTGATTGACAAATTCCTGAAAATTTAAATATATTGGTGAAAATAGCGCAATAAGGTTAAATATTATTTATTTGACTAAATCGATACGTACCGGTTATTTAGTATATTTTCCCCTGCATTCCATTTACAGGGCAAACATTACGCCCTTATGGTCAATTTTTGTCTTTACATAATATACCAAGGTCCCAAGTACCAAAAGTTAGTTGTGAATAACGCCCTTGTAAATAACGTCCACATCTGCAAGAATATACATTATATAGAAAGACATTTCTACGACTCACCGTTTACGCCGCATTGGTCTGGTTGTCGAGGAGTACACTTTTGTGCCTCAGAGAGAGAAAATGCTAGTAAAAATACCGAAACAAAAATACAGGATGCGCGCCATTTTCGCTTTGCCTTTAGAGCCCTATCAGAAGCAATGTTCAGTCAATAAGTGACCGACGAGAAGGACAGGATCGAACGAGCGCGGGCTCAACGCCCATACGATTTGGCATGTGACACTTTCACGCTGCTCTAGGTGGCAGATCACTTCAACGCTAAGGACGGGGTTAAGGATACACATGCATATAACGTGATTGGGCACTGTCATCTGCCCTCGTTGCCCGAAACCTGGATATAAAGCAGGACTTATATTTTATGTTCTTTAAAGTTTTAAAAAGTAGCTTTGGGATACCCAGACGAGACCCTCATAGTATGGATGTACCCAAAATGAGAATTCTGTGCATTTTTTATTCTGAAAAAGGGACCTTTCTGTTTCATCTACGTTGGGCGTATAAACATAAAAAATGTAATCCCAGAAGCAACTGTAATTTTAATGTAAACTGGTGGTGCTTTATATCAGAAATTATCATTTATAGATGTGAGTGTGGCTAAAATTAAATTAAATGTCCTGACAAATCGGTTATCACGACCATATCTACAGAGAAGTACCGGTATTTGTTTGAAAAGTAAATAATTTTGACAGACATGTTTGGGTTGGTAGGAGTTCAATTGATCAGTTTAATTTTAAGTGCAAGTGAAATGATATTAAGGCCTGAGAGATAAATTGCTTTCGATGACGAGGGGTATGTTTTCATTTCACCTATCGGTGGCATTCTCAATATGAAATCACTTTTGTAATAGACGTAATTCTAAACTTTAGTAGTATGAAAACAATTTAAATTGAGATTCTAGTGACTGTCATACAGATATGATTATGTTGGCTGATTTTTTTTTTTTTTTTTTTTTTTTACATTTTCCGAACACGCGTACAGCGGCATTTTGGAAAAAGACCCAAAATATATATCAGAAATACATACCAAATGCAGATTATCGTTTTTTTTTAAATATTTGGGGTTAAGAGAAACGTTAAGCAGTTATTCCTATCATTTCTAAACTTTCATAAATTTTTTATCATGGTTCAAGGCCCTTAATGATGCATGCAAATTACCGATGCTATAAAATAAAACTAAATAAAACCAAATAAAACTCTTAGGTATTCATCCTTTACGTGAATTTTCGATATAATTGTATGTTGAAATGATCAATATGTAGTTCTTAAACAAATAAATTAGGTCCAGAACACTTTGGTAACTAAAGCAATTAGGAATGAGTTTATTATCATATAATTAATATTAATTGCCAATTAGGCCTATAATTCAGATTGATTTCATTTTACAGCTTCATAGCTTTTCATCTCACACAAAAGTTTTGACACGATATGTATATCAGCTTAGTACAAAAATGAAGTCAGAAATACACAGCAAGGATAAGTAAATAAATTTTCAACATTTCAATATTGCTCTGGCCCCAGTTTCACAAAAAATCTTAAGTCATTTATTTCCCTGACTTAGTTGACTAGAATTTCCATGAGAGTGCTGTACGTAACAATGTTTCTGATAGGGTAAAATGGGCGCATGTGACCATGTAACGTTGGTAATTAAGTTCTTAGCCAGGGAACCTGACTTCATTTTTTTTTTTTTTTTTTTTTTTTGAAACAGAGGCCTGTTTTGTCCACCGAAGTACATCCTGGCCACTGCAGCGGCATGCGGTCATTTCAGTAGCCTTCAATGCCTTCCCTATCCACATATTTTCTCACTTGGCATGTTGTTACCCGTTTTGTAAAAATAGGGGAACAGCGAAACCGTTTATCATTATTTTTATGTTGATGTCATATTACATCGGAGCGACGCCCTTTCCTTATTGTCACCTTAATGATGGCTGCCACAGCCTTGAAGCAGGACATCATGGGCGAAAGAAGTAAGAAGTGCAGGTTTCAGCATGGCATTTTTCAACATTTTTCAGCATGGCATTTTTGTGTTTTCTGTACTGGCTGACATGAAATTTGGGAAAGCTGTCGAGTTTTAAGTGCCAGGAACAAGGTAAAACAGTATCAAGAAGACGTATTTAGTTAGAAGTCTGCGAACTATGGCCAATAAGTTCAAATGAATAAATATCAACCTTGAGGTTCGGTTCGCCTCCTCTGTGTGTTGCTGTCTAAAAAGGTCTGACAAGGTGGCAGCTTAACCATACAAATACAGGTGCACTATGCTCAACAAACACAATGACTTTATTTTCATTATATCATGTAATTCCACGGTCTTTCTTATCTTAATAAAATAGCACATCTTAGTTAGTAAACAAAACTGACAGTGATATCACTGCAATCGAAGTTTAATCATACATATGGACACATTTGTATTTGCAAAAGATTGCTGCGCGTCCTAAAAAAAGCTAATTCAGTTTCATGATAAAGTGTAGTATATTGCATTGCCCAATGGTAATAATTATGAATATACGAGGTTCAATTTACTCATTATTTTACGAAAATCCTGCGAGAAAAGGCAACTAACCATATGTACAATATCTTTGGACCGTCTGTACCTTCCATTAAGATTTCAAGGCGGAATCATAAAAAATTAGAATACAGCATTTCGCTATAACCATGACCAAATAGCATACTATCTACTTGAAATATATAGACACACATGTCACTTAAATTTTATGATCTCGAAAAAAAAACGGAAGTACATTTTTTGCTCAGCACAAACACTCTTTGTCAATGGTCCAGAAAGAAGTAAAGCGGCGATAAGTGCTTCTGTACTTATAACAATGCAGTGTTAGTGTTAAGTAGGCCTGTAAGACACACTGTCCACGCTGACAATTTCGGGTCAGAAATTCGCAAGTTCATCTGACTATTGCGCAGTTTCAGTTATGATTCGACTATAATCTGCGTGTATAATTTCATAACATTTGCATAGCAAGCTAAGAAGCCGTCAAATCATCTAGCAGCTTCTCAAATACAATTTCATGGCGTTTCGACGTTCCACCAGTTTTGTTTTGATCTTGAAAGTTATAGCATCAACTTTGACAACCATCAACAAGCCAAATCTACACTACAGTTAGAATTAAGAATTAGTACACAAATCCAATATAAATGTTATCGTAGGTAAGTGCAAAATGCTTGAGCTTCGGCTACATGTACCACTGATTTCTAACAATGCTAGTTTAAATTTGAAAATAGACCTTATTTCGTCTATGACGTAAAGTCTTTACCAATGGTCAACGTTGTGATGCAAGATAATATAAAAAAATTACATGTAACAGACAAAAACAATGCTTTTTGGCCCAAGCAAAATATATTATGAATTGGTTCCTAAAGAAAAGGGCCCTATCATTATTCGGACTACCTAACTTAGTCATTGTAGATACCACCACGGGCTTTGTCGTACAGATATGGCGGAGGAGTGAAACCCGAGCAATTCAATTCAGAACAGCATTTCCCGGGCATGGGCGGGACCAGACGACAGCCATTGGGGATACCAACTTTCAGCCAGTCAAAGCACCTGTTACAAGATAAAGATACGTACATTTTTGAGTCGTTTGGGAATTTCATCTTGGTAAATATACGGGTTATTAAGTTATCTTTGGAGCAATTTCTAATAAATGAAATTTAAATGCCCCTGGAGCCTCATGTATAGGCCTATTTTAAGGTGTCTGTTGAATTTATTTTCAAATTTCACAGGCTCAGCAAATTTAAGGAAGGGAGAAAACAATCATGAATATGTATGCGTTGCTACTAACGTTTCGTTTAATAAACGCTAGCCAGGCACGGATATTCACATTTGTATTTCTCACTTTTCCAACACTGGTGTAACTAGGTTTTCAAGCGTTCACTCAGAAGTGAAATGTTTTAAAAAGCTTCATTTTAGATACAAGGGCATCTACTCACATTGGCTCGCAATGTATAAAGTTGACTATCGCCTTCGCGCACAAACATTTTCTCTCACAGCCCTCATCCCATCTTTCTCCTTGCTTTGAAAGAGTGTTGTTCTCCAAACAGTAATCTAAAATACAAAATATTGTACAAAATTGTTTTAAGTACCCTTTTCTACATGCCATCTGCCCCACTTTTGCAACCGAACAAAACTAGCTGACTAAGGCAATTCTAAATGTTTATTATATATATATATATATATATATATATATATATATATATATATATATATATAGAGAGAGAGAGAGAGAGAGAGAGTCACTCATCGGCAATTATCGAAGGTGGGCTATAACTGAACATTAATCTTACCTTGTGGTTTAACACACTCGTGTTTGCCACCAGGCTTTATCTGACAAGTGATCGGTGATCCCTTTAGTAATGGACAAGGGTTTGGGGTGCACGGGTCTGGTAGTGCAGTGGTGGTGGTGGTGGTTGGAACTGTTGTCGTTGTTATCTGTGATTCGCACTTCTTCCCCGTGAAACTTTGGCCACACAAACAGAAAAAATCATTTGCCTGTGAAAATGATCGAGTGAATTATTAATCAAAAGTTAAATTAACTCAAATAAGAAAATCCTTCATTTTTCACCAGTATTTTAAAAATATATGCAATATCTTTTACAATAACTTTCTTAATATCTCAAATTATCTATCGACACTGTAAACTATTGAAGTCTCACTAAGTAATTATATAATAGAACGAACTACTAAATTTTAGCATAAATGATAAATTGAAACTAATATAAGACGGTTTACTTAACTCGTTCGGCAACGAGGACCGACCGGTTTTGCTAAATGATGCATTTACATCGTACGCCTTTCAAAATGCCCGACCCTTTCACTTACCTGATCAAAACACAACCCACCATTCAAGCAAGGCGAAGAACTGCACTCATTTATATTAACGTCGCAGTACTGGCCTTTCCAACCTGGGCTACACGTGCAGGTTACCCCGGTTGATGTATCCCTGCACGTCGACGCATGCTTGCACGTGTTTTTGGTGCACGCCTCGTGCTGACAATTGGGCCCTTTCCATCCAGCAGCGCAAGAACAAGTGTAGGCATTGGGAGCACTGGAACATGTTCCCCCGTTCAAACATGGAGAAGACCTGCACTGGTCGATGTCTACTTCACAATTTCGGCCACTGTAACCTGCTAGACAGACGCAACTGTAATTATTCGGAGACGACATGCATAACCCATTATGCAAACATGGAGCAGACCTGCACTGGTCGATGTCTACTTCACAATTTCGACCGCTGTAACCTGCTAGACAGACGCAACTGTAATTATTCGGAGAAGACATGCATAACCCATTATACAAACATGGAGCAGACCTGCACTGGTCAATGTCAACTTGACAATTTGGACCACTGTAACCGGACAGGCAGACGCAACTGTAATTATTCGGAGACGACATGCATAACCCATTATGCAAACATGGAGCAGACCTGCACTGGTCGATGTCTACTTCACAATTTCGGCCACTGTAACCTGCTAGACAGACGCAACTGTAATTATTCGGAGACGACATGCATAACCCATTATGCAAACATGGAGCAGACCTGCACTGGTCGATGTCTACTTCACAATTTCGACCGCTGTAGCCGGACAGGCAGACGCAACTGTAATTATTAGGAGATGGCATACATAACCCATTATGCAAACATGGGGAAGATCTGCATTGGTTGTTGTCGATTTCACAATGTCTACCACTGAATTCCTTGGGACAATCACAGTCGTATCCGTTTGGCTGATTGTGACACGTCCCTTTGTTTTGGCATGGGGACGATCTGCACATATTGTTGTCAATCTCACAATTTCTTCCGCTGAAGCCGGGCGAACACACACATTTGTAATCATTTGGCTGGTTTTGACACGTTCCCTGATTTAAGCATGGGGACGACCTGCACATATTGATATCTGTTTTGCACAAATTCCCCGTAAAATCTTTAGAACACGTACAGCTGTAGCTATCTGGTTTATTTATACATTTCCCTTGATTGTGGCATGGCGATGACCTGCATTTGTTGTTGTCGATTTCACAAAGAGCACCAGAGAAATCTGGTGGACACACGCAACTGTATGCATTGGGTTGGTTTTGACAAGTGGCTCCATTTTTGCACGGCGACGACCTGCATTTATTGTTATCGGTTTCACAATGGCGACCACTAAAACCGTCCAAGCACTTACAATCATAGCCGTTTGGCATGTTTTGACAAGTGGCTTGATTCTGACATGGGGACGATCTACACATGTTGTTGTCGATCTCACAATGGCGACCACTGAAATCGGGCATGCAATTACAACTGTACCCGTTCAGACTTTGAAGACATGTTCCTTGATTTTGGCATGGCGTCGACTCACAAAAATTCACCAGCTGGTTACAGTTCACGCCTGTATAGCCTGGTTGACAAGCGCATTTGTAGGTCCCGTATGTGTTGATGCATTGCTCTGAAAAAGTTTGTTGTATCAACTTTAAACTTTACATATGTGAACAAATATCTATTACAGTGTCTCACGTACATGTATATAATTTAGTCTCGGTAAACAATTTTAAACGATGAAAATGTTCGAGAAAAAAGGAATTTGAAAAACTACAGCTTCTGCAAGAATGTTACCGACTGTTAAAACTCAAAACCTCCATCGTTAGATCGATAGTCCAAAACGAACAAGTACGTGTTGTCGGTAACGATGGAGGTTTATAAAGTAAAATGACTCACCGTTTGTGTTACATGGATTAAGTCCTACGGTCTGGAAATCGACGCACTCGTTGACATCTCTCTTGCAAGCCGGGAACCCTTTGAAGCCACGTGGACACCCGCAAAGTTCCCGGATTTCAGGGAAGATGTTAGAAAACATGTTGATCGTGCTGCTACTTTTTGTCGATTTACTGCGACTTTTACTTCTACGGCTTCTGTGCTTTTTAGATTTTTTTGATCCTTTTTTGGATGCCTTTGGTCCCTTTTTGGAATTTTTGCTGGATTTTAACAGGCTAGCACAATTATAATTTTGAGGCCCTTTAGCAGGCGCATGGTAGCTGGAGGGAAGCAAAATATTCTTCAGGGTTTCTAAAATTAAAAAGAGAAAAAATTATGAAAAAATTATGGAAATAAGAAAAATAAGAAACTGCGATACCAAGGTCACGCACCTTAAATGTCACTTCAGGTCACCCTATACTCTTTATACACTGTATCTTCCCCCCCCCCCCAATTCCTAAGTAGAAAACGATACGTTGCAAAACCGTCAAGACCATGCAGTCGATTCTAAAAGAAATCACCATTACCAATGTGGCATCCATATTACTGAACTGTAACAGACACATTTCTCCCTTCATTTGATAAACATGTCACAGTCTTTTAAAAACACAGCGAGGAAGTGATCAGTACACTAATTCACGTGAAACTCACCAACGACTGAAAGTTCGCAGTTTCTCCCTACATATCCTGGCTCACACACACACTGTCTGTTCACGCAGATTTCTGAAATCAGATTTCCTAAATATTTAAAGCGATTGAAATTTCGATCGACAACGAGATCTTTAGCACTCAAACAAACAGACAAACATACAAATAAATATATTTAGATAAATAATTAACCTACCGTTAACAAATAGATAAAAAATTAAAAAATATTATCTGAAGGAATTTACCATTTGTCTTGCATCTTGGCCTCCGAGGGTCACATTTTTTACCTTGACAGAGAGACACCGACAACGCCAGGAAAATAACCGACACGAAAATCAGGACACGAGTCATTTTATGGCAAATTGACGTTACCAGAACGATGAGACGGTCATTCAACTGCGGTGTCTATGAGCCGCTGATGTCCAGAGACACGCTATAAATAAACGCAAAACTCGTACTCTCCAAATTTTGGAGTATCCACGAGGAGCATAATCGCAATGCCCGAGTGGATAGGCGTCAAAAAAATGCGAACTGATAACTTATACCTCATCAGTGTTTGGTTGATATGACACTATCTTCTGTCTACATGATTGGTTTGAAGTTCTTAAAAATCAAATTACCAAATTATCAAATTTTAATTTAAAGTTAAAACATACTAGTGACTCAGGGTGCAATAAGTGATAAGAGATAACCAACATGAATTGCAAATTATAATTCAGTGTGATTTCATTTTACTACTGCATATTTTTTACTCTGACATGTTAAGGTCTTGGCACAATGGCAACTGTGGATATCAGCTCGGTCAAATAAATAAATTAATAAAAAAGATAAGCCGGTTTTCAGCAAAAATTAGTAAAAGCATTTCCCACATTCATGTATTTTGACACTGTTCCATTTTTTTCTTTCATAATACAGATGCATTTTCTATAACCTCTGACATGCAGTCATTTATAATAAAATATTATATACTGGCCAGAAAAAGAAACATCTTTCTTTGGACCACAATGATTTAAAGGCACATGTAAGGCTAGTCACTTCTTTCAGTGACAACACTTTAGTCCTTCAGAAGAGTACTGATACGCTTGAATTATTTCTGGCTATGGCTTCTGTTAAATTTTCAGACATTTTGTCCAAACACAAATTGGGACAAAAGTCTTGCAGAAATCAATAGACTAAAGAGTCGCACTGGTGGAAGAATGGAGAAGGATGCCCCCGGTCCGCATGAGAGGTCTCGCATGGTCCATGAGGGAACTAGCCCGCATTGCAGCCAGGGGAATGCACACGTGTTACTGAATGATGAACTGACATTTATGCGTCTCGATTCCATAACTCGCCCATACTCGAGTAATAATAATACACTGTAGCCTCTATGTGAAATCGCTTTTCGCAATACGCGATGCTTTCGAGCTACAGGGCCCAGTTCTCTTTCAATTGTCATGTTGGTACCGTCCGACACATACAAGTTGCGAAAGCTTTTGCATTTTGCATGCCAGAAACGAAACATGGCAGTATCAAGTGGTAAGATTTAGTGAAATGTTTTAGTTGGATTAGGGCCGATACGTATTAACAAATATAAGTTCGCCTCCTGCGTGCCTTGTCGTTCTTCAGGTTGTAGCCAAACAATACAAATACGCGTGTGCTTTGCTCAACAAACACAATTACTTTATTTTTCATCATAACATTCATCTCCACGATCTTTCACGTCTTTTAATATAATTTAAAAAATTGGCAACGAGTCCCAGGTATTAATTTACAGTGATATCGCTACGATGGAGCTGGAAGTTGAATAACGCATATGGACACAAATGAAATCATTTTCCATTTGCAAACGATTGTTGAACGTCCGATGTGCCACTTCCGTTTCATAATATGCTTTAATCATTAAAATTATACGAGTTCCTTATAAGCCAGATACTCAGGGGTAGAATACTTCACAAAAATCTTGCCAGTGAAATAAATAATCATGTATTTCCTTCCTTCCATATCTAAAGGCCAAATCAAACAAATTAAGTGTAAATCATCCCGTTAAAATCATAAACGCGTAGCAACCTATCCCCAGTTAATATATATATATATATATATATATATATATATATATATATATATATATAACAATTTACAAAGTAAAACGGCGCAAATAGCAATCAAACTTATATACCATTTCCCCTAAAGAAATAATATCAATTACATGTACAAATCAGATACAGAAATTTAGACAAGAACAGATATGCAATGATGTTTTGATTCCATCAACCATATAACATGAAAATTTGCTAAAAAAGAGTCATATTGTCATCCTGTTCACTTGTCTCTGTTCTTGAAAATAACACCATGGGCGTTTTTTAAGCTACGGCTATGGCGGAGGGGTGAAACCCGAGCAGTTCAATTCAGAACAGCATTTCCCGGGCTTGGGCGGGTCCAGGCGACAGCCATTGGGAACGCCAACTTTCAGCCAGTCAAAGCACCTGTTTCAGGGTAAAGATAAGTACATTTTAGAGTTGTACGGATTTTCGTCTTGGTGAATACATGATTTGTTGTGTACGGGACGGTTTAACTTAGTGAACTTTACATGACCCGTAAAATCTACGGTATATTTAATTCTTTGTTTTTTCCAAAATTGACAGGCCCAACCAAAAGTAGTGAGAAGAACTATTACAACCATGGACATTTAAACGTTGCTATGAATGTTTCACGTGGATATTGACATAAATATGTTTCGCTTATCCGGTGTACTTTGGTTTTCATTCAAAAATGAAATAATTAAAATGGTACATTTTGCAGTTCATCTATAAACTAGGGCATAAATTTACTCATATTTTTTCGCAGTGCACACGAAAAAATGTGAGGCGTGGATATTCACAATTGTATTTCTCTCTTTTCCAACTTGGGTGCAACTAGAATTTAAAACGTTCACTCAAAAATTGAAATATTTCTTAAATATCCATTTTAGGACTCGGTTATCAAAGGGCATTTACTCACATTGCCTCACAATGAACAAAGTTCACTATCGCCTTCGCGCACAAACATTTTCTCTCACAGCCCTCTTTCCACCGTTTTCCTTGCTTGTAAAGAGTGTTGTTCCTCAAACAGTAATCTGAAAATACATGCTCCGTTATTTATCTGCTTTACTACTTCTCCCAGAGCGAAATTACTATAAGCCTGGGCACTTGACTTGGTGCCACTCTGTGTTGCCTTGCAATCTGCCTCATAAGTACCCCAGCACGATGACTTTCTATAATTTACCATCTGATTTCCTCGCTGAGTCTTTTTCTAATCATTTGTTGTTACAATATTACAAAATGTACCAATAATATATATATATCGTGAACCTTATTCATTGTCCTGCCTTTCAGAACTAAACCTTTTTAACAATCTGATAAAGCCATTAATTGAACAACAGCATGTTATATAACATCACAGCTATGGGGAAATATGAACATAAGACTGCTACTATATATTTTGGCTTACCTTGTGGTTTGATACACTCGTGTTTGCCACGAGGCTTTATTTTACAAGTGATCGGTGATCCCTTTAGTAATGGACAAGGGTTTGGGGTGCACGGGTCTGGTAGTGCAGTGGTGGTGGTGGTTGGAACTGTTGTCGTCGTAATCTGTGTTTGACAATTCTTCCCCGTGAACCTTTGGCCGCATAAACAGAAATAATCATTTGCCTGTGGAAATAATTGAAGGAATTGCCAATCAAAAGTTAAATGAAGCGAGAAGTGGACAATTCTTTCTTTTTCTTGAACTTGTGTTTCACGACAATATCATTCCACAGTAAATTACTTCATTTCGCAATTTTCTTAACGCCAATATTAAGATTGAATTATCGCTGAAGTAAGATAAACTACTCAATTTACACATTAATAGCATAAAATTATGTAAGCTTACGGTTCAACAACTCGCGTAGATGTTCTATATTTCTTGGTAAAAAAAACTGACTGATTAGGTTAATGAGCTTCTCACTTACCTGATCAAAACACAACCCACCATTCAAGCAAGGCAAAGAACTGCATTCATTGATATTTATGTCGCAGTACTGGCCCGTCCAACCTGGGCTACACGTGCAGGTTACCCCGGACGATGTATCCCTGCACGTCGACGCATGCTTGCACGTGTTTTTGGTGCACGCCTCGTGCTGACAATTGGGCCCTTTCCATCCAACGGCGCAAGAACAAGTATAAGTATTGGGGGCACTGGAACATGTTCCACCGTTCAAACATGGAGCCGATCTGCACTGGTCAATGTCAACTTGACAATTTGGACCGCTGTAACCTGATAGGCAGACGCAACTGTAATTATTCGGAGATGGTTTACATAACCCATTATGCATACATGGCGAAGATCTGCATTGGTTGTTGTCGATTTCACAATGTCTACCACTGAATTCCCTGGGACAATTACAGTCGTAACCGTTTGGTTTGTTATGGCAGGTTCCTTGGTTTTTACACGGGGAAGATCGACACATGGCTTTGTCAATGTCGCAGTGTTTGCCACTAAAACCAGGTAGACAACCACATGTGTAATTATTCGGCTGGTTGGAGCAAGTGCCTTTATTCTTGCACGGCGATGATCGACAGAGGTTTCCGTCGATATCGCAATGTTGCCCGCTGAAATCCCTTGGACACAGGCAGTCGTAACTGTTGGGTTTATTCTTACAAGTACCCAGATTTTTGCAGGGAGAAAACCGGCACATATTGTTATCAGTTAAACAATGCTTGCCACTGAAACCTACTGGACACAAGCAAGTATAAGCATTGGGTTTGTTTTGACAAGTTGCTCCGTTTTTACATGGCGATGATTTACACATATTGTTGTTGATCTCACATTTGTGTCCGTTGAAGCCAGGGGAGCATAAACAGTCGTAACCGTTTGGCTGATTGTGACACGTCCCTTTGTTTTGGCATGGGGACGATCTGCACATATTGTTATCAATCTCACAATTTCTTCCGCTGAAGCCAGGTGAACACACACATTTGTAGTTATTTGGTTGGTTATGACATGTTCCCTGATTTTGACACGGGGACGATCTGCACATATTGATGTCTGTTTTGCACAAAGTTCCCGTAAAATATTTAGAACATGTACAGCTGTAGCTATTTGGTTTATTTATACATTTCCCATGGTTCTGACATGGGGATGACCTGCACTTGTTGTTGTCGATTTCACAAAGAGCACCAGAGAAATCTGGTGGACACACGCACCTGTATGCATTGGGTAGGTTTTGACAAGTGGCTCCATTTTTGCACGGCGACGACCTGCATTTATTGTTATCAGTTTCACAATGGCGACCGCCAAAACCGTTCAGGCACTTACAATCGTAACCGTTCGGCTTGTTATGACAAGTGGCTTTATTCTTACAGGGGGCCAACCTACACATATTGTTGTCAGTTTGGCAGAACCGTCCATTGAAACCGGACGGACATACGCAGTCGAATCCATTCGGCTTATTTCTGCAAGCTGCTCCATTCTTGCACGGGGACGACCTGCATTTATTGTTATCAGTTTCACAATGGCGACCACTAAAACTGTTCAAGCACTTACAATCGTAACCGTTCGGTTTGTTATGACAAGTGGCTTTATTCTTGCAGGGGGACGACCTACACATGTTGTTGTCAGTTTCACAATGGCGACCACTAAAACCGCTCAGGCACTTACAATCGTAACCGTTCGGCGTATTTTGGCAAGGGGCTTGATTCTGACATGGGGACGATCTACACATGTTGTTGTCAGTTTCACAATGGCGACCACTAAAACCAGACTTGCATTTACAACTGTAACCGTTAAGTCTTCGAAGACAGATTCCTCCATTCTGACATGGCGTCGACTTGCAAAAGTCCACCTGTTGATTGCAATTCACGCCGGTATAGCCCGGTTTACAAACGCACTTAAAGCTCCCGTGTGTGTTGATGCATTGCTCTGAAAGAGACGACATTTAAAGAAGTACAAACTCTGACTTTGATGTATGGGAACAAATGTCTATTGCAGACTGCCATGTTCATCATCTCATCTGTATATTCAATTTTTTATCATAAAAATATATCAAGAAAAAATGGAATTTCAATTTAAACAACTCCAGCATTAGAGTGACAGACTAATAACACTTGAAAACCTCCAGAACGCATTATTTACTTTATTGACTATTCGGCGTTAGCGTTTTACATGTATGATCTCCGGTTTTGATCAAAACGGCTGTCGGTTTTCCCTTAGTTTCCCCCATTAGCCTACTCTACTCACAGTTGCACTTTTTGCCAAATACTGTTTAGGATCAGAAATCGGTCATTAGAAGACCAAATGTAAAACATTGAGGAAATGGGTTCTCCGCCGTATGTATTCTTATGAAAAGTCATGTCTGACTGGAAACTTAAACAGTCTTTGAATTTGTTCAGTTTCTAGTAGAGAGCAAATGGGGTGGTTTTTAACACCTAGGCCACGAAAAACTCGATTATTTGAAAGCTGTTTATTATGTATACTTGAATTTTTTTAACTTCATGCAGTACAAACTAAATTGGTGTATCACCATCCATTGCCGTTTGTGGGTGATTTACGATTTTTATGATTTTTTTAGAAATACACAGTTATTGTATTGACCAATTTGCTCAATCTTATATGTAAATAAATCAACCGTTAGCCTTTAACATCGTAACATTATCAAATCATACCTGTAAATAGTTGGGACGAGAGACTAAAAAGAACAGAAACGTGTTCTTAAAAATCACGTAATGCTTAAGTTAAGTAAAAACAACTCACCATTGGTGTTACATGGATTAAGTCCTACTTTCTTAAAATCGACGCACTCGTTGACGTCTCTTTTGCAAGCCGGAAACCCTGTGAAGCCACGTCGACACCTGCAAAGTTCCCGGATTTCAGGGAAGACGCTTGAAAACATGTCGATCATGCCGTTCTTTTTTGTCGATTTGCTGCGACTTTTACTTCTACGACTTCTCTTTTTAGACTTTTTTGACCCTTTGGACTTCTTGGACTTCTTGGACTTCTTCGACCCCTTTTTGGACTTTTTCGACTTTTTGTTGGATTTTAGCATACTGGCACAGGTATATTTTTGATAAACTTTATTAGGCGCACGAAAGGTGGAAGGGAAGAACATATTCTTCAGGGCCTCTAAAAAAATAAAAAGAAAAAGAAAAAGATGTAAAAATTAATGGTGGAAATAAGAACGCTATGCTAAGCCCAGGGGCCTTAGCTTCAGCAATCTAGGCCACCACATTTTCAATATCATTAACGTTTCCTCCGCTATTCAAAAAATAGAAAGCGTAAACTTAAAAAGCTTGAAAGAAAGTAATAATATTAAAAATTTCCCGTTGTCAACATAATTTGAGTGCTTTAAAGAAATGAGATACATAACGCGCAAGACCAATTAATTTTGAATTAAATACCGCAACTCCAATGTGGGATTTATTTTACTGAAGTATGATTGCCGCATTTCTTCCCTGATATAAAATGGTAAAAACACAGCAAAGAGGTTATCTGTGAATATGTAGAATGATTCAACTGACACTTACCAACAACTGAAAGTTCGCAGTTTTTTCCCACATACCCTGGCTTACACACACATTGTTTCCTTACGCATATTTCTGAAATATATATTTCGTTATATACAGTACTCCATTCAAAAGATAAAAACCTGCGCATCTCTACTACAAATAGTTATCATGGAAATGATGGCAAACTATATATGATAGTAAACTTTGAACGATAACAAGGTCTTAAACTCTCAAACAAAAAACAAAATAAATAACCGTTACACAAATTTACCGTTTGTCTTGCATTTCGGTCTCCGGGGATCACATTTTTTTCCTTTACTGATTGACACCGACAACGCCAGGAAAATAACCGAAACAAAAATCAGGAGCCGAGCCATATTATGGCAGATTGATGTCCCCAGACCAATGTAACAGATAACCAAACCCGGTGCCTCTGAACACCGATGTCCGGAGACAGCCTATAAATAAACGTCGTAAAACCCAGACTCTCCCTTAATTTTGGAGTATCCATGAGGAATACAATCGTAATGCCCGAGTGGATAGGAGTGGAAATATGTGAACTAATAACTTACATCTCTCCGAGACAAGTTATCTGTTGAGATACGTCGCGGTTGTTGAAATTCGCAGTAGTTCAACAAAGGTTACGTAACCATCTTAAGCCCAATGCCTTTAAAGTGAACGTGTCCGCACGTTCCTACGTTATTAATTTTGGATTCTCATTAAAAGTAACTAAATATAGACATTATCATAAACTAAAAATAACGGAGACATTCTTTTGGAGATGTTTGTTGGGAAAACAAGATTCAAGGCACGTGTTAATAAATAAATGTGAGTATTCCGAACGGTTACATTTAACGTTGCGTTTAAAATCATACAAAGTTCGTAAAAAAGTGGATCATGAGGGGCATTGGAAAATCGAGATATTTGCTTCTATTTGTCTTTATTTCAATGCACGGACCACTACACTGGTGACTTAGCCGTGTACACTGTTAACGACGGGCAGTATATTAGCATCATGCCCCCATGACAGTACATATTTCCATCTAAAAGATTGCTCTCCTCATGATCAGCCACCTTAAAAAAATGATTTTGACCCCACTCGACCCCCACCTCATTTCGTCGACAATATTTTTTAAAATCTGCCTTGAAATGACAGAAATTATAAAGAGTATCAAATTATTGTTAGCAATGAGCACATCTGATAGTATTAACATTCACAGAAATTAATCACTGCTAACACGTCCTCCCAAGTTTTTTAAAGACCACAATCTTTGAAAACTGAAATTCAATAAATGAATTACTCAAAAATTACTACCGTCTAAATGTTAATTAAGCACTTAGAGCAGTTCAGAATCGTCCACTATTATGAAAGCAATGCTGAAACAATTCTTTATTTTCGTGAAATAACCAGTGAGATATGATCTATACGAATTGCACTGACATAGTAACTGTGCAAACCCTGACAGGCGTAATACTCAATTAGACCACCAAGGCGCATGAGTGATCTGGAGAGGCTTCAGTGCGGTAACTTTGATGTCTTTTACTTTTTTAACTTTAACCAGCCTTATCAACAGCATTTACAATAGGCGCCTTTACATGAAACTACGCAAAAAGTACATTTCTTGAATTAGTTTGAAACTGCATTTAAAAACAGGTGTCACGAAGCCTACACACAAATATCTCCACTATGGAGACGACGCACCCGATATTCAGGCCGATCTTACCAGGGGAATTCAATGCTCAATTCCACGTAAAAATTCGCGCTTGACAGTAGAAAAAGTTGTCATGAATTAGCCAGAGACATATCTGTTAATATCTAGTGAAAAAACCATCTGTGACTCTCGTAGAGGGTACTACGGCCCCTTGTGGTCACTTTACCCTTTCTACTACACTACCCTTGCAATATTTTTCTCAAACGCGTGTAGGGCCTATTCTACTGTATACCGTCTACCTTAGGATATAAACAGCAGAAGCCAGTTGTGTGATAAAATTAATACCATGCAAAGTAGAAAAAAAATGTCCTAAATTATCCAGAGGCATATTTGTGAATGTTTAGCAAAAAAATCCACCTGTGACCTTGGTAGGTCACTTTGACATTTCTACTAAACTGTTCTTGCAGCATCCTTAGACGTGTTTAGGGCCTACTATATACAAGAGGCCAGTTGAGTAATGAATTTATAATGAAATTAATTCCATGCAAAAATTCGCGCTGTACAGTAGAAAAAAATTGTAATGGATTTTTAGCAAAGGACTGTGGATATGTAGTGAAAAATTAACCTGTGGCCCTGACAGCGGGTGTCCCGGGGGAATTGTTTTAAATACGCCCAGTGAATTCCTAGATGCCTGCAATGATTTATGCTTACTTATGATAACGCACACGTTGTCGAGAAGTTCATGCGCCTTCCGGGGCTTTATTTTCAAATCCGCCATATCTCAAGTAACAGATATATTTGAACATGAAATATCACCATACCTTAGCAGTTTGATGGTGGTTTGACTGAGTGGATTCCATGCATACGGAATAGGCAATACATAGGTAGGCAATACATAGGTAGGCATATACGACAGCAAACCAAGGTTATTGACTGGATGAATAAATTGTTTACATTTATTACGGTAGATTATCAGGGTGGAGATTGGTAAATAGATACAGGTAGATATATTGATAGATAAAAACATGGCGTTACTTTCCGAAGCTAGGCTTGTGTACTAGGAAAGTAAAATGCAGTGATAACTCTGTTAGGAAATGGGGTGCAGTTAAGATATATACAGTAGTGTGGACGGCTATCGTCCAATCACTTTCCTAATGACCCCTTGTGTTATTGCAGACCTCAGCAGGTATTTATATTTCTTGTTCCATTTACAGGCGTTTACAAATAGAAGATGAAAATTACATCGAACTGCAAGTAAAAAAGAATTGCTGTTGTGCCTGCATATATTGAGGTATTCTATTGCACGACAATTTTTTTCAATAGCAATGGGCTTAGTTTGTAGGTTGCTTATATGATGCACAAATGCATTTGCAAAATTCAAAAGAAAACAATTTCGATAATAATATGGTCATGTTTTCAGCAAAGACAACAGTAAAGAGCAGTTGCAAGATGTTCCGAGCGTTTCAGAATGGAATCATCCTCCACTTCTGTACACTCGTGGTGACGGCGGCAATTTCGGAGAATGGCTTACATTCAAACTGGGACTTCCATACTCTTTTCGGCAACCAGACTCCAATTTATTCCACTAAAGGAAAATACTCAAACGCCAACATAAAACGCACTGCTGTGGTAGAGAAATTTGTAAACGACGGGACATTAAATGCACCCCGTAACCTATTCGCACAAAAGCAAACAATACTGAAGAGAAAAAGGCGCAGCTTTTTACATCCTATGAACAAAACCAACGACGTGAAATGTCGGCCTCACAAAAACATCATGTTCCTGAACGTGCTGGGAACTGCTTCCGATTCGGCGTCCGGAGTGGTTCTTCGCTATGCATATGCCAACGAGCTTGTCACTGCTCTCCCCATGCACGGTCTCAAGGGACTTAAGATTGCATGCAAAGATAAGTTTGACAACGTTTTTACAGAAGAATATTTAGAAGATTGCATGGAAGTAAAACCTGTGAAATGTTTCGTAGTGACTCCCGACGTTGAAGAGCCCAAGAAGAAGTATCAGATTATTGCACATAGCATAATTTACAATTCAAGCGTCGTCAGGGAGGCAATGCCAGGGAATACCTTTCGCTTCTCTTTACTTCAAGACCCATACTCGAGATTCCGTGACATTTTTCTATCATTGGGGTGTGCTGAGAGATATAACATATCCAAGTCGACGGACCCCAGTCTGGCATTTTTACAAGATATTGATGTTCATTATAAGAAAAAGACAGAGGAAAATGACAACGAATGCGACGAAAATGTTTTTCCAAACGCTATGCTGCGAAATTTCGGTTATAGCGATTTCGAGCTAGATAGCACCCCAAGTATTGACGAGTTTCTTAATGTGATTGAACGAGATTTTCATCTCATTATACTTGCTGAATATTTGAACGAGGGTTTAATATTATTGCGGCGTCGCCTCTGCTGGAAAATGAAGAACATTTTGTATCTTAATGAATACAGGGCTCACATATCAAACAAATCTTACGAGAATGAAGACAGTTCTCAGGCACTATTTAAAAAGAGGAATGTTTTAGATGTTACGCTGTACAATCATTTTAGATCCAAATTCATCACCATTTTAGATAGCCAGGCGCCAGATTTTCAAAACGAACTGTCGTATTTTAAGACACTTTTAGATAAAGTTGCTAAATTTTGTGAATCTCAGTTGTCTACACTGGATGTCCAAGGAAACGAATGGACTGAACAATTTTCTCTCACTCGTCGAGATTGTAAGTTAATGGCCCTGTCCCCGGACAAAATGGCCATCCCGTTAAAAGCGCAGTATTACGCCCGCAAAATCAGAACCAAAAAGGCTAAGGACTTTTATAACTGAAAATCGCAATTTGGTCGTATACTGCGATTCTAATAATGTCTCAGGCGATTTAGTGCAAACAGACATTTAAGACATATTACTAAGCAGTATACGTGGTGTTTTTCAGCCAATAGATCGATTTTTGACTTCAGTCGATTTGTGAAACGGGCACGTCACACGTTCATATAACAACTTTCCCGAATAGTAAGTCTTATATGAATCGACTAAGGAACAACTTGTTTCCTTGCCTAGAACGAACTAGTCAGACTTAACGCAATCCAGGGTGAAGCCTGTTATCAAAGTCTGAACGCACTATTGAGGTGTTTCAAACATGCTGGTTATTTTATTACGGATTTGTTATTTAGATTATGTTATGCCAAACATAGTATTGCCAATCTTGCGTTGTCATGGAATATATACTTTGTTAAGCCCGCGTTACTTTGATCGCAGGGCAATTCATGGGGTTGTTACTGTCTTAGATATTCTTTCTTCTTTAATTAACCTGCACTGTTATACTAACGGTTTGTTTTACATGTGTGTTTTTGGAATAACAAAATAAGCATTTTCACTGTGAGTGGAATTGGACACAAGGCATCTCACTAGTAAATTGGCTGAAGTGAAGTAGAGAAACATATGAACTGTTTTAACACGAACATTGACGTTTGCAGGCCAATAAGACAGGAGGGTGCTTGAAAACTCTGACACTCTTCAGGGTCATCAGTTGCACTGTTTTTGTTTTCAGTTTGAATTCCTACGAATTGCAGCTTTTGGCGTGTCCGTTTTGAGCATCTTCTATGTAGTGGTCAATGATTTTCTCTAAGACTTGCAATGGCACTTGTCCACAGGTCAGGCAAGCTTCGTGAAAATCTCGCAGATCGAATAGAGGACCTATAAATATTAAATAGGTTGATTATGATTGTGGATTGAGCAGGAGACAATCGGCACGAAATATTGACCTGAAACGGATTACAGTTGCTTCTTCAATATTCTCGAAAATTCAGATGTCACTTTTCATTTTTTTTTGTTTGATTTAAAAGTAAAGCCAATCGTATGCATTGCCACCATTTGCGATGATCAGTCCACGTGTCACTGGGTGATTTTGAATTTTGATGTGTATGTCTTAATAAATTATCACCATCTTAGTTTCAATACTTAAACATATAATACCCAAGTTAATCCAACATGTTCAAGTTTAAGACATTAAGCTCTTAATTAACTGAACCCACTTTGCTCTGACTCACATAATTCGCCTGTTTACCCTTTGAAGAACGGCTGAAAGCTTGGTAAAAAATTAATTGAATTCATAGTCTAGAAATGGATTGCACAGATTCCGTTTTCATTTCTAGGGTATTCAGATACATGTTTTTATAGTCCCTTCTATCTATTCAGATTGCTCGATACCTGTTGAAATGCTATTGTGAGATTTTTTCGTGACATAAATTCTTTAAAAGGCGGTCATTCAGTAACATTTCCAAAAAGCATAATAAATTGATTCCGTGAGAAGTATATTTCTTAAAACAGCCATCCCCATTTCCATTCCATTTCTGCATCAAACAAATACAGCTGCATGTAGAGTAAATCATGTTAAAGAAGACAAACCTAGTTCTTTTTCTGCTTTCCTTCGCAGTTCCCTGATCTTAAAATGTCCCATTTTGTATGCGCATTGCTGAAAAGGAGAAAGTATGAGATCTGATTTTTTTTCGGGCTGCACATATATAAAAATGAAACCACGTTCTAATTCCCCTTACAGGGAATTAGCGCTCAGACAAATCACACCACATATAAAACTGAAACTACACAAATAACGACTTATTTAACAGAAACTAAAGTCTTTTACAATTTTAATCTTACTAAAATAATTGGTTCGATTAACAAAAAGGGAGTTAAGTTTTTTTTTGCGTATTCAACACGAAATTGACAATATTGGTTGAAACTATTTGATCTGTAGACATTTATTGTTACTCTAAATATCACATGACTAATAAATACCGACGTACCTGACCCGGAATTGTAACATGTCTGTCCATTTCAAGATGAATTCCCTGATCGCTTAGAGCTGTATTGTCCTTCAAAAACTGTATTGACTCAGACTCTGACCATCTACAAACAATAAGTCATATACAGTTACAATACTTTTTACTATACTTTTCAATTCAATGGATACACATAGTTACACGTTAGAGTGACAACAACTTTTTGTGGCCGTTTTTTTTTTCTCCTGGCTCAAGTCGTTATAAACCGAGTAGTATGATTTAAATCAAACTTATAAGTGGACGGGATACTGTCTCATTACATTACAGTTTGCAGTTCGAAATATCAAAGCTGATTTTAAGGCATTTTTATATCTCTCACATGAGCCCTTCCTTTAATGTGTACAGTTTTAAGGAGGCGGGAGGGACAGTTTATCACAGTCAGCTCTCAGCTACACAAGATAAGATTATAGCATTGAAATATTAGCCTCATGCGTGCGTGCTTCTGATGGCACTGGAGAGATAACGAGAGTTATTGCCCATTATACAATGCTACCATCACGGTGTGGACAAGGTATACATAAAGAGAACAATGACATACCCAAGGGCGTGGATTCCAACATTCACAACAACCCGAGCGCTGCGGTACAATTCTGATATGTAATAACCATAGCTGTTGAACAAGAGAGAAAGGTGTTCCTTTTAGAGAAAAACATTACTCTAAAAGAGCTGTTTGGATAAAATACCATGGAACAATAAATAAAAAATGTGTGAAACGACTAAGTCAGTAAAAGAAAATATATATATGAGATGCCTCGTGATATCTAAGTACACGGAATGGCTGCGACCTCAAAAATATTACATTAATGTAATTAGTGTTTTACGAATATAGAGTATCATAAATTTAAGAATATTTGTTTAAGACATTGTACAATCTTAAATTAATGTAATCTTAAGAGAACAAGAATAAAATGCAAAAGAATGATGCCTACAGTTCTTGAAGAGTGTCGTACAAGCCCATCTCTACGCCAAGTTCCTCGGAGTATAGTCCCCAGCCCTAAAAGTTTAAACGGTAGCATGAAGTCTATGAATAACACCTGGTCATATGGAGAAAATAACATAAAAAAGAAATAAAGCAAAATAATTTCAAAAAAATTCTCTACATTTAGACGTTAGTAGTATATTTATTACAAAAAATCAAAAGAACGAAAGGTGCATAATTCTTTTCGTCATCTGGCTTTTATCGTAGACAGTCATACAGGATAGATTTCAATATTGGTCACGTCGAGTAACAGCCGAATTAAACGGGATTACAGCATGATAAGTTTACACCAATATGGGCTAACATATGTCCCTTGCAAACAGAGATAGTGGTATTTGTCGGTAGATACTAAGGAATATATTTTCGATCTCTCTCGAATATGTGCTATTGGCCAACGGTGGAGTCTGTTAATTTGTATGTAATTTAACAAGAAAAGTTACATCGTCCTAGTTTTGTTTAAATCATGGCTCTTTAGTCCAAACAGCTACTTGTTCATCTCTTAGTTAAAAAACACCTTACGGACATTATCTGAATTGCATAATTACATTGATTTTTTCAGACCGTACCCTACATGTACACTTATCTCAATTAATGCCATGTAAATTTTAGCAACAAGTTCGACCTCCTTGGTTTGAGTAATCAAAGCCCAAAATTTAAACAGTTCAAACAACTTAAATCACGAGTCTAAAATGACCTCGTATTCGCACTTTGTATCGAATGTCCTGAGAGGACAATAGGAATAACCAATATTCCACGTGTAACATTGTAGAAAAAAACGAAAATATCTAAGAGTGCATTCCCATAGATTTAGATCGATCCATCTAGATCGACCTAACTCCCAGGGGGTTCTCGCTAAATTGCTGTCAGCCGAGCGCGCACGACAGTTAATTACCTCCTTACAGCTTTTAGTAGGCGGGACAGACATTTAAGCCGGCTAAGCTGACAGTAATCTAGTGAGACTCCCCACAGGGATAGATCGATCTAAAATCTGTGGGAATAGGATCTAACCTCAGTGTAGGCCGTGTTCATGGGAAACCTACTGGGTACCTCGTAATACCGTCGATCATCTTTATGACGACGAAACTTTGGAAGCTTCTTCTGGAGTACGACTAGGGAATGCTGGAAAATTTAAAATACATGTAGTTTATCATTCCACATTATCTTCCATACTAAGCACCCTGGGTTTCAAGGGACGCTGGAAACTTGCATCTCTAGTATCTGGAAACGCCAAGGCGTGCTGATAGTAGAGAGGTGAAATTATAGTGTCCTCTGAAACTCAGGGGGATATAAGAACAAACAAATATAAGAGAACTTAACGCTGCACAGTTTCTATCATCCAAAAGAAATATAAAATCAACGCAAACTGGTACCAGTACAAAACAGAACGACTCAAACGCATGATCTTGTTTAATTAATAAAATAATCCTTATATTGAAATTTCAATTTTCTGACCTACCCCAAACGTCTATGGGATAATATGAAAAAAATATAATCTAAACTACACTTAATAGAACTATAATGTTCTACCTGTAAATGATGACCAGGCTCTAACTCATGAAGAGTTAAGGCAACAAAAGCATTGTTCTTGATTTCCGAGTGATGAGGGCACACGTAGAGCGTTCCAGGCACGTTGTGGTCTTGGGCAGGAGCGTTGTACACGGCGAACGTGATCGGTCTCCTGTCTGGCATGGCCACTAACCTAGCAAATAAATAAATAAATAAATAAATAACAGATATGAGTAAGGCGTGGAGTGACTGAAACGACTAAATAGTTTTACTCCGGCTGTTATTTTAGTCTAATAAAACAAATAGACTAAAACTGCTTTGAGTGTCGAAAGGCTCGTCTAAAAATTAAGTTTTCTTTGCTGTACCCACTGGACGTGTTGATACAAGAAGAACATTTTATTAAAAAAAAAACTAAAGACAAAATTCAACGTGCGCGACCCACCTGAAAGGCTGGTTTGGAAGGTTCTTGAAATATTTCGGTAGCTTTGGTCTTATCTTGTTTTCTAGGGTGCTTCGAAAAGCATCCAAGACTTCTTCCTGCAACAAAATTATTGCGTTTAGAAACTCGCCTACGGTTTCATCCTCTTATTTTCAAATGTTTCTGACACAATGTCAACAGTCATCTCATAAAAATGACCAAAACAACTAAACTCGATCTTGATTCACGAAATTATACAATCATCGCACTTATAATAACAACTATCTTTTGACGTTATTATTTTTTTTCGAGAACTATTACGTCGATTTATTTACAATCAGTTAATAAATCAAATAATTAGGTGACAAACATTCCGAGATTAATATATAAAACTCGATTCAATCACCGATGTTTTGGACAGATTTGCACCGGACATCTTCTGGCAGTAGGAGAGGAATTCACGGTAAGATCCTTTAAAGTGGTGTTCGTCCATTAGCTGAAATAAAAAGTACAGAGAATTTGAATAACATGGGATTGATTTAGAGCATAAACTAGCAGAAACTGTTCAATAATTGCCCTGAATTAGTAACATTTTATTTGTAAACCAAAACGATTGCAACTTTCAAGTTTCCGTTTTGATTATAATTCAATTGAATTCAAATTCGCGATAAAATGTAACGCTTTAAAGACTGAAAATAGAGCAACAGAAAGAATAATATAAACATATAATACCGATTTAGCTTTATCCTGTGCTTTCTTAAGTTCTTCGCTGCCAAGCTTAAACATTTCCTCGGGAGATATGTCAGAGTCGCAATGGAACCTCAGTTGTGCTTTGTATCTTTCCAAGCCTCCGGAGAGAGAGGATATGGAAATATCTTGACGAAGATGGGGAAAGTAGGACTGGAATAATGAAAGAAAAAAAGAAATGAAGTGAAATAAGCACGTGCGTATTCTTCATTCTTGATCGTAAAGCAATTGTTTACTTGAGACTGCATCATTGCACGTATAAATATTTTTCTTGTCAGGAATCATTAACTTTGTTTTTACTTTTGAATATGTTATCATTTCTGATTGATATGATAGGTTCCGAAACATGAGAATTATAAATAATATAAACCAGGTAGCTGTTGTTACAAAATCAGGAAGCAATGCTTTATTTTGTTATAGCAAAAGTAGTATAATCATGACCAATTTGATTTCCATAGACATTTTCAATTTTTTTAACTAATTAAATCCAAAGCTGCTTACCTCTTGCAAAAAAGATTTCAGTTTTTCCAGAGATCCGTAGACATTTGAGGTAACAAGAGCCAGTCCTTCCTTTTTCAGCTCTGACCTTAAAGTAGAAATAAAGTAGGCGAGCTGTTGGCAAGAGAGACTCCTTTTAACTGATTTTGAGTCTCTTTTCGACACTTTTCGCTTAAGATCGAGATTAATGTCACTGCTGTTATTCTTTGTAACGCTGTACAACAACACACTTTTAGGGTCGATTTACCAAATTTTGACTGGCCGCGCCCTATTTTCTTGACAGCTCTTGTCTGACTGTTTCAAGGGATTCTCAAAGGTGACTTCAACAGCCTGTTAATATAAAGTCCATGAACGTGTTTTATGAAAAAAGTATCAAAAACCAATGGTTTCAATATATATACCTGTGAGGATCTGCAATATCCTCTGGAATGTTGTTGAAAGGAGCATAGTATTCGGATTCTTCTGCTGGACGTTCCAAGTCTCGGTCTATAATGTCATCAATAATGTGAGCCTGTCAATCAAAAGTGAAAAGTCGGCATCTCTATATGCACCTACAGCTTTATAGCACTCACAATGTTTTTTTTCTTCACAGAGTTAACTTCCGCCGCCTTGTCATGCAACTTAAAACGCCATAGAAGTGCAGGGTCGTGATTCACAAAAAAAAAGTCTGAAGTCTGTTTATGGATTAAAGTCTTATCCTGTTAAGACCAATTTTAACAGCCGCTTAAGTGCATGTGGCTCATTCGTTGTTTTGACCTTGAAAGCCAAATGTAGTATGTTCAGTGGGGAAAGTAGAGAAATATGCCTAACTGATGTGAGTGATAACAAAATACAATGTATATACAGTCTGCTTACCATAGCACGAGGGTGGTGAACGATCCTTCTTTCAATACCTTTCCTTTGGAAATCTATATTTTCTTGTATCTAAAAAGAAAAAAACTGCTAAATTAAAATTTACTAAAAACAGTAAAACATTTCAGATATCTCAAGACGATACTCAGGGATACAATCAAGAAGAAATTTCAAAAGACTAGCTAGTATTCTATGGACTAAAAGACCTGCAGCTGCTTCTTCCAATCTCTCTCTATGCTCACCTAGCAGACGACAACAGAAAAAAGGCAATAGGGTGTGTCAAAAGTTTTTAAGTTTTTTTTCCATTTGAGCAGATTTAAGTTAAAACCAATCTTTATCTGCAATTAAAAGAACCCAATTCAATACCTGTTTAGGGAAATCTCTTAATCTCTGTAAATATATTTCGTAGTCTTTTAAACAGGTAAAACTCATCCTGCCCACAGTCCGTTCTTTAAAGTCTCTGTGGACACCTTCCTTATAGTGCAATCCCAATAGATAACCGGCGTATTGTATACCGTCTATGTACATCTTGAGGTAGTACTTCAGCATATAAAGAGTTGTCTCATTTTGGCGACTTTCCTTGGAGGGATCGATCTCGTCAACTTTGTTTAACAAAGTTTTGCAATATTCCTAAAATAAAAAAAAATAAGTAAATTACTCGTTTGTAGTAATGAATAGATAAATCATATTGAAAGGAGGAGGGTCTCCAGATTCAGGTGAGAAGATAAACAAGGTAGCAACGTACATGTATGTGAAAACTGTGAAAAGTTAGCCTCGCCTCGTAAAACGAAAACTCATTAATTAGATCTGAAAACCCTATACGTGCTACGAACTGAACAAACGAAGTCACTTCTTACATGTATACTGTACGATGGCCACGTGGCGTTAAGTAACTTAGCGTTACTCTCACATTAATTTTAGATTTTTTTCTTTCAATCCACACGAGATACAGCTATCATACATCTACTATTACCTCTTCCCAAATAATTTCAATTAAATGACAATGCAAAATTGACATATTATAAGTTAAATTGATATGTAGGAACAATCAAATGCAATGTCCGTTTCTTTGCTTTGCTTATCTTGATTTATATGTACATTCCCTTATTACAAGAAAAAAAGCATTATTTTATGCTATAAACAGTACCTGTCGTTTCAAGTATCTCTCTTCACTGAAACTGTCCAACCCAAGCCCGTACTGGTGGTAGCCGACATAGGTGGCATATTCTGGGTTCTCCATCATCCACCACTCCCAAAACTCTTCGGCTATTCTCGGGACTTCTGACTGATCATCATGCGCCATTGTTTCCATTTTTCTATTTCTAAAAAAAAAATATATTGTTATTATTATTATTATCAAGCAAAACAAAATAATCGCAGTGTGTAATAATAAACTCTTCTGTAAGAAATAAATGCCTTAATTTTCACAACAGTGTCACTTTGCATACATCCCGAGTTTCAGAATCCTTGTAAACTCATCTCTTTGCTATAATAATATTATTATAATGTTTCTGTCGTTTCCAATAAGAGAGTGCACTGGAAATAACTGAAGCTTGCTGGTAATGTAGAGATAGGGGCGAATTTTATGTACCTCTGCTCATCACCGAAAAAAAGGACGACCGTCAACGGAAAGCGACAGATGTCACTATCTGCCATGGAATAGCGGATCCGGGTATACTGTATTTTGAAAAAAGATTTCTTGCGTATTCGCCTGTGTTTTCTGCAAGTCATGCATCTGTATATGTACACAGTAATTTCAATATTGAGTAGTTAGGGAGTTGGAGTGAAAGGCATTGTAGTGAAAATGTACACGTACGCGTTTGGAATGTGGTTACATGTGTCGTAGTTGAAATGGTTTATACTTATTGAAACTGAATTATATGCCTCTTTTGACCCCCCCCCCTCATTTTTGAAAAATTCCACTGCTAACATTGATAAATAAACGTGGACCCTCGGTTTTATTTTCTATTTTCTTTGGAAAATAACGTTGTAATGTTGTAAACTTAATTAAACCTCGATTTATGGTTTCTAGATTTTTTTAAATCAACAGTAGGCTTATCTAGCAACTTGAATATAACGAGAGATGCGACAGAGAAATCGATTCTCCAACTCTGAACACATTCCATCAAAGCGAATAGTATCACTTTACTGGGGAGAAGTGAGAAGTACATTGCATTACCGCGGTGGGTGGGTGGGTGGGGGGGATACACCATTGGTCCAAGTATCTAGTATTAGTCCCATATACAGCTCTACGCACCGTACAGTTTTATTTTCTAGGTCACTGTGACGGCATGATGTCCATGTAAAACGTACAGCAGTAAGGAATTCACCTGAGCACGTGCAGTCTCAGGTATCAATAAAGATATCGTTAAATTGACGGCCTGACCCAAATTGGTCTATAAATGCCAATATATATGGTTACACCACCAAGTACAAACCAGGGACCGTATTTAGCCATGTTAATAATCATGATTCATAACTGGGTTTCATTACGCACTTCAATATTCGGTCCACTGCATAGTATGCACAGTTCGAGGTATAGTCGCTGTATAGTGCACAGTGTACATGCCCTACCTGAAGAATGTCCGTTTTGATCGTGACCCAGCTACTGCCCCTGGTATGTCACGCACGTAGCTCTGCAATTATGCAATGGATTACATGCAAATGCGTGTCTATATACAGCAAGCTGGGTATTACCACAACGACTTGCCCCCATCATTTACTGGAGTACTAATTTAGCGGGGTCCCGAGATCAGCCTGGGTCATTCCTCTAACAGTTTAGGTTCAGTATCATATGCATATGCAATGGTGCACGCACACTGATGGTGGTGAGACTAACCTCTGATCGTAAGCTACGCAGGTCAGGTTGGGATGTGATCAATGTAGCCAAGCTATCGCTTGAGTAAATATAGCTGAGTTTGGGCGCTAGTGACAACACGAGTCGTCCACTGTATGCGATATACTGTACGGTACACACGTGAACAAAACTTAGATTGGGTGGCCGGAAACGGATATCGATATGGGCCAATGACCTTTATATTTTCATCATATTACTTATGGATGTGTTTTATTATATCCATTTCCCACTATTATTATTATTATTATTATTATTATTATTATTATTATCTCATTACACTTCAGGCAGCATCAGCCAAGTCCCTAAATTTGATCAGACAAGACAAAGTGCCGATAATTATACAATTTTATTCTTTAAAGATTATTTTCTACACTGCATGCTAAGGGTTATTTTAGTCAGAGTACGTTGATGTGGTGCACATGCATTGACGACACAACAACAGGTGCAGTGAGAGAACCGCTGGTCCTTCCTAACATGAAGTTAAGTCGCACTTACATGTACAGTCACAGGTCCGTAGCCAGGGAGTGTTTGGGGGGTTCGAAAGAACCACCCCTTTTGCTGGGAAAAGGTCCACTCTGGGTAAAAATTGATCTATGCACTTGAGGATTTTAAGGGAAAGGTCAGGGGCGTAACCAGACCATTTAAAATTGTACGCACAGTTTTTGAAAATTCCCAGGTACGCACGTACCGCGAAAAATACACTGAATTTATGGAGAATAATATCATGGTTGGCTCAAAAAATTGTACGCACAGTGCATCCGTGCGTATGCCTGGCTACGCCCCTGAAGGTAAAAGGTCCACTTTTTCAGAAAACGAACCCCCATCTGAAATTGCTGGCTAAGGTCTTGAGTCAAGATGGGCCCTCCAGGCCTGTGGCCAGCAATTTCTAAGGAGGTCGGAGATCTTTTTCTGTAAAAGAGGACATTTGTTTCTCAGCGCGGAATTCTACAAGTCAAAGGGGCGGTTCGTTCGAGCCCCCCCCCCTCCCCTCCCCAACACCATATCTACGAGTCTGTCTTCAGGAAACACCGAGGTAATTTTGGTCTTGACTTTAGACGTAAAATTTTGGTCTGTTGCAGCTTGGGGTAAATTCATGCATCATAGTCCACTAAAATAAAACAGTTATTATCCTTAAACGTTAGCCATTAGTCCCCAGAGTGTTTTGCACCGTCTGAGATACTATGAGCTTACGTGACTGGACGCAGGATATTGTAAAGTTGTCATCTTGGAGCTTGTCGGCTCTGAAAGGATACTCTTGAGAACCGGCATATTCCCGTCTGTGAAAGGGACCGTGTTCATGGCTTGTTTACCAGAAATGGCTCCTTTCAGTAGCAATGAAATTGCACCCCTGTTTACATATATAACACCCATTTTAAGAGACTATTTTACAATAAAAAGCGCATCCACAGTTATTTTAGAACGGGAACTCAAACTAAATCTGTCCTTTTTGTAAAATAGAAATGCTTCATCGTCTATATCCTGGATTATTTTCAGAGGAGGAGCACGTTATCACTCAGCGTCGTTCTCGCATTTGCAGATTCCGTTACAGTATCTGAAAATATAAAACTGAAACGTTGAGACATCCCAACGAAATCATATTGCATTTCAGGCGATATCTGCACTTACAGAAAACGAACAGAGTCGAAGCAATAATTTCCACAGAAAACGTTAACGAATTCAAATTATATGTTAAGTCTAGATTCAAGGTGCCGATTTTGAATGGTCATTTTAGGCGATTTATAAATGAACAAATAAGCTGAAAACATTATATTGGCAACATGATGAGGTACATCTCCACTTTGCTTTTATATAATTATATAATGGCCAGACGGGATAAACAGTCACATTCCAGTACCAAACTTCCATGGAAAATTATACACAAGACTTTGGCTTGATGATTAAAAAAAAACCCCGAAAGCAGCGGTGTAAATTCAATTCAATTTATTAAATTTTAAAGCCTTACAGCTGGAGTGCATTTAATAACTCACGCATTAGCTCTTTTGGAGTTTTCAGGTACTTTGTCATTTTCTTTTTTGTGTTCTTCGGGATGATAAGCCTGAGCGAGGCTACGATCATGGAAAGGGTTTAATCGCCTCGGTGCCGCGGCAGCAGAGGCCAGGTAGACGTGACACGAGCGAGGGGTAAGGAAAGACTCAACGGCATCTCGTGAGGTGGCGAGCCTGTTCATATCTCTTCGCCACTTGGCACGTCGATTTTGAAACCAGACCTGTCGTCAAAGAAAGGAATAATAGGATATATACTGAATAGATATCAATAAGACAGCTGATCATTTTTGCATGCTGCATTGGCTCAGCATAAACTGTAATTTTTTTTTCGTGTGTGTGCGTGCGCGCATGCGTGTGCCTCACTCATTTCCACTAAGAAACGCATGCAACTGGAGACTTCTTACCTGGACTCGTGCCTCCGTTAATCCTGTCTTTGTTGCAAGTCCCTCTCGTTGGCAAAAATCTGGATAGTGTGTTTCGTAGAACATCTCTTGGAGGATGATTAACTGTTGTGGCGTGTATATGGTACGACTACGGCGCTAAAAATTCATCAGATTCAGAATATGATTACGTCTAGTTGGTTGTTTAGACCGGTGTAACAGGAATGGAAGTCTGCTAGGAACCGTAGTCCGCTTCTCATTACTTTGTACAGGTGACACTCGTCCAATATACTATAAGCCCAATTCTCCAACTAACCCTAACCTGTACAGATCATTTGGGAGCCCGGACTTCATTCCCATTACACCGGCGCACACGCGGAGCTGTGATCCGAGTTACATTAATAGCCGTATCATCCGCCAGATTTTTTTTTTTTTTTTACAAAAATTGTCTTTCATCCAATTATGTAGCATTTTACAGAGACCCCTGGGTAGCCTGGCCGGCTTTTATTCATTAGACTAGTAAAAAAGTTCAAAAATTAAAAAGTTAAAACAGGTGATTAAAAATGAACAATTTATAATTACGCTATGGGAGCGGGGAGCTGCTCCCTTTCACAAATTCTTTTTCAACTTCTTCGACCAATCATGATTACTCCAGTTTTTGCCTGACCGTGTACATCCCTCTCCAGTAACCCATATTTTATGATGCTTTATAAAGGACAAATAGATTCAATTTGTCTCATTTAACAATAACGATAATAGGTAGAACGAGATTCTTGTAGTAAGATACGAGGAAGTCAAACTTACGTGATGCATTTGGCGTGTGGGAATGGCTCCATATCCTTTACACTTCGACAGCAGGGAGAACTGATACGCAGGGCAACAATATTTATCCATGCTGCTGGGTTTTCTTTGCACGAAAGGAGAGAAAAAAATGTGAAATCTGCATAGCGAATTCTTGTAAAATTATGAGATTGAAATGAATAAAATGATTGAAATGATAGTTGTAAGTATCCTTTGCGAGTTATTCTCACCAAATTTAATTTACTTTGAGAAAAATTTTGCCTGCTCTTGAATCATTGCTCGAAATGTGCACTTACCACGTAAAAATCTGTCTTCAGTTCACTTATTCCTGCGTGTTATTGATTTCGATATTATCAGAACAGATAATGTTATATAATTTGAACGCGATGAGGCTTTATAGGTTTGCAAATCAGACCACTCCTATAGTAGACAAACGTGATATTATTGAAGCAATTGATTGGTTGCAGGCACTTTTATCTCGACACATTTCCTAAAAGATCTTGCTAGGCTGCCCAGCTTCCTATTCACGTGTACTTGGCATTATTTTGTGCTCTTTAATTTATAAAAAATGACATTTTTAATGAAAAAAGAAACAACATTTTTTATGTAAACGTCAAACAATAAAGAGGAAGCGTGTGAGCGTAAAATTACAAATAATGAAACAATGAAATTGCGTGAATTAAGATTGGGTTCCCATACCTAGATCCATCTAAAGGGATCGATCCATCTTCAAGGGGTTTCTCGCTTAATTGCTTTCAGCTTAAGCGGCTTTGATGTCTGGCACACCTAATGAAGCTGCTAGACGATAGTTAATTACCCCCTAACAGCTCCAGCAGGCGTGGCAGACATCTAAGCCGCTTAAGTTGATTGCAATTTAACGAGAATCCCCTTGGATATAGATCCACGGTTAGTACGGTAGGGGTCTGGGAACGGTCCCTAAACTTTTTTAGCATAACAAATTAGAAACGAAGAGGTGTCGTTATCGATTAAGAAAAAAAAAAACGAATTGTGGGAAATATTGGGATGCATTTTCTCACCAATATTTTCCTTCTACATCCTCTCTCTCTCTCTCTCTCACTCTCTCTCTCTCTCTCTCACAAAAATGACATTACTGTCAGTCGCTGCATGCATTAAAAAGTGTGAAACAAACGATTTTAAATTACTCATCGATGTCTTTCTATGCTTCAGCATAAATATCTTCCCATTTCAGTAAATGATATAATGATAGTACAAATATGTTTACTGACGAGAAGGGCTGCTGAAAAAGCTTAATATTGTCGCCTGAAATACTTCTCCCTTTACGTTGTACCGGAGGTAGGTACGCCGTGGGTGGTAGGATTGAAAAAACAAAAACAAAATCCCTGAAGATGCATTAAACTATGCGAGTACCTATTGGGATAAAATGTACTTATGTGAAGAAATTAATGAAACTATTTTTGTGCAAACAAAATGGCACTTCGAGTTTTCTGCATTTGTATTTTTTATTGCTTGGGGGGTGGGGCGCTTGATCTGCAATTTCCTTTTCATTAAGAGTGGAAATGCTGCGTCTTTCTGAGAATCGGCATTTTTCTAACGCACGTTTACCCATCTTATATTAGATGAAAATGAAACCGCAGTCTGCCATTTCTTTTTAAATATGAAGCATGCAAGAGTTTGTGCACCGTACATTGTCGTGTACACACACACACACACACACACACACACACACACACCTCTAGAGGTCACCATGACCTGATTCACTTCGCGCTTTCTTTCTCGCTACACATTTCAACTTCTTGAACTATTTTCTCCGGTGAAAGCTTTAATAACGTCATCACGATACTCTGACAGAGGGAACCGACACGGTCGTTTTTCACAAAAGCACTATGTCTAACTACTGCATGAATCCCTGGAAAACAATTTACGAAATTCTTAACGCCAGAAAAAAACACAAAT